TTGTTTTTGAGAAGATGTAACGCCGACGTCACGACGTAACGTAAGTTGCAAATGAGCTGCGGCGATCAGCTTTACATGTATTTCTGAAAACTGTCATTTCGGATAAAATATATGGATTATTTATCTGAAACTTACACATCAAATTGATAAATAATTGAATAAATGTCAAATATAATTATATTAACTTTCCTTCCCCAAAAAAGCAATTTATGGAGTGTGTCCACGAATTTATTGATCAACCCTCGTACATCTAGATCTATATGCAAAATATAGATCTTGTTTGCAACTTGGCGTTTGCAGCACAATGGAAGGGAGTGAGTTAGCTGTATGGAATGTCTTTTTATATTTAACCTTGTAACTATAAATGACACTGTGAATCAGATCTTTGCAGTGAACTATTGCCATCATCCATCGTCACAAACCAAATTCAACTTTTGTTTATTTGACCGTAAAAAAATACCAGTATTTACAAAATATATCACTTAAAAAATTGTTTCTACTGTATTATTTTATTGAGTAAAAAAATGCACACTTATGAAAACAATGATATATATTCTTTATTATACGTAGTCTCGTCTATACATATTTAAAACATAGACAAATATATAACGAGAACGATGTATAACCATATAAGACACATCATGTCTAAATTATTTTATTTTCGCCGACTTTAGATAACAAATTGGCGGGTCTGTTTATACCAACATGCTTTATGTGCGTGAGGCATTTAACTTCGTAATGAAATAACTTAAATATTTCGAATGGAAATTGAAAGACTAGAGTTGAGAACAAAAATGTTAAAGATAATACTTATTGTTTTACAACATTGACATAATACGCATTAAAATATTTTAAGGAAGCTAAATGAACGTGCGATACTACATTTTAGCTGTGAATACGATAACCTTTCGTTACACTAAACATTTAAGCTGTTGTGTTTGTATTAAAGTAATACAGATCATTTTAAAGCATATTTTCCTTGATAATATCTCACGTTAAGTTATGGTGAAACAAAAGAAAAATAACAAAGAAGAAACTAAATTTGTTACAAAAGAGATAAAATCCATCTTTTTTACAAGAGAGACTCCTGGCTATGTTTTGTTTTTCTAGAAGGAAGTAACTTTTGAACTGTTTAAAACAGTGTACACGTTAGACTTCGTGCTATTTCTCTTACATTCAATATATGTACTTGATGTTATTTTCATAACTATAGATAAAGTTAATAGTAGTACAATTAGCTTTAATATCCCCTAAATCATTAGTTATAGCACATAGCTATATTTGATATATAAGTCTCTGGCGATCCTTCGGCCAAAAACCGGCACTCGGCGTACACTCATAATAAGCCGAGGTACGCCCCTGACATCTTATTAATGACTGTTTAATGTCATATTTATCACCATATTTGTAATGTGATACTAACGCAAGAAGAGCAAAATTTGCATATTTTGACCTGCTTGTTTGGCAATTTTCGTAGATTTTATGTTTTGTTTGCAATGTGTAAATGTTCTCTTTGTTGTTCACTTGACATTATTTGAGCCGCATCACGACAAAACCAACATAATGGGTTTGCGACCAGCATGGATCCAGACCAGCCTGCGCATCCGCGCAGTCTGATCAGGACCCATGCTGTTCGCTTACAAACCCTATAACAAGTAGAGAAACTGATAGCGAACAACACGGATCCTGATCAGCGCAGGCTGGTCTGGATCCATGCTGGTCGCAAACCCACTATGTTGGTTTTGTCGTGAGGCGGCTCATTTTATCGTTTTATACATTTTGAAGCTGTTTACTTAAAGAAGCCTGAATCTAGAGACTTGCTGCTTTAATACATTTTACTCACTTCGTTTAATTTTGGGCCATGAATTCTTTACGCCACAGTGTTCTTATACTATACGAGTATCTTTCATTTTATCCTGAATTCAGAAAACACATTTGCATGTCTTTATGTGTTTGCAGTTGTAAAGTACAATTTAACTAAAAAATGTGTATGGAAATGTTTCCATTCATTCATAATATACGACTTTATATTTAGACATTTGAAAGACGAGACTTAGCAAATGCTTAAGCTAACTTGTAAACAATCACTTGACTTTATAAATGAGAGACATAAACTTAAAAGTTTAGAGTAATGTCTTAGATACTTTCTAGTTAGTTATAATTTTGAAACTTTAAGAACTACTTAAATGCTCACTTTTAAAGAAGTATAATATCAAAGTATTCCTTGTAAATGTGTTCTGCTACATACTTGAATAGCTTGATTATAAAGTCTTATGTTAGATGATAATTTGGCATGAAACATTTTCAATATTTAAGCATTCAGGCATTGTATATTACTCCTCTGCAACTTAAGTAATTGTAAAATGAAATTAGTGAATATATCTTTTATTTTAGTGTATACACGATATTGTTTAGCAACTATTTGTTTTACCATATGTCAATCTTGTCGCCTTCGTTTTTCGGACAAGGCTGACAAATATGGTCTTCTCAGATAATATATTATCATACTCATTCAGCGAATCATTGTTACCAGGAACACTAAAATCGTAATATGCTTTATTTTCGGTAAACTGCATATATCACTTAGTTATCTATGTATTTTTGAAAGTTTCTATTCATATCTATCACCAGTTTCATTGCTATATGTTTGTAATTATGTAAACTGTTATATATGCAAAACTCTATACCTTTTGCTAAATAAGTTTTGTTTACTGTTACGACACTGAAACGGAAATATGTTCGTTAATATTATTTATGCAGGTCTTATATATGCTAGTATGTAAATTGCCATATTTGTAATTTGTACTGTGCATTTTGCCACATGGGTCGTTGACCTTCTGGTTTGATATGAATAAAACTTTGAAACTTTTTGTATCGTGAATCGTATCGTATAGCCTGTACACTCATTGTCGCGTGACGAAAGAAGGCGGAGACATGTAGATAGTGTACAAAAATAATTTTAAACACTAAGGTGGTTAAAATTTATAAGTACGTCGCGCCTGACCAAATTTAATTTTGTAAATACGTACTAATAAACTTTAACCTAAACGTAAATCTTATCGAACGTAGTATATTGTCAATCATGAATCACTCATGACAATAAACTTCCATCTTACAGGAAAAATAACTAAATTATCATAGCTTTTTTAAAAGCGAGCTACAAATAAATAAAATAGGTTGTTTTGAGTGAGAATCTATTCAAACTAATGCTGACATGTTTAAAGGTAACTATTCCCCTGCTTAGTATATTAAACAGACTTTTCATGTATTGCATTTAAAAAACTGTCCATCCTATGAGGGATTCCAAAAAAAAAAAAAATGAGCAATTTCCAGTAAAGTTTGGTTAAGAAAGCCTTGTCTGATTTTACTATCTCAACTTTTACTCAGTGTTGGCAATAGTAATTGAAAAGTTATATTAAATGTATATGATTTCTGAATATACTTGAAACTGTTTGAGCATTAATTGTTAAGAATGCTTATTGTATTCATTACAATTTTATCATTAATTAATAAAATATGCTAATGATATGTATTTCTAATTAACTATGGAATTAATATATCAAACAAATAAACTGTTTAAGCATTAATTTATAAAGAAATATGCTGAATGCATGTAAATAATTATGAAAGCAAATAAAATATTGTATATGGTTCACACTGCTTTTTAAATAACATTGCACCCTAAAACTTAAAATTACTGTTTAAGCATTCAATAATATAAGATATGCCAAACTGTCAATTAATCAGAAGTTTTCTTGTATACAAAACCATTTAAGAATATTTTTTTCTCTGTACTTTAAATATTTCATGTTATCATCGTCACATAAACTCATTTTGTAACAGAAATCTTTTAAAATTATGAAGAAAGCATGAAGTGGTGAACCACATGTTACAATTATTCTGAGAAAACGGCAACTGTACAAAGGAGCAACTGCAGTAATTATACAATGTACTTGGAACAGAATACAGCACTTGTATGTGGAGAATACAGCAATTGTTTGTGGAGAATACAGCATCTGTATGTGGAGAATACAGCAACTGTATGTGGAGAATACAGCATCTGTATGTGGAGAATACAGCAACTGTATGTGGAGAATACAGCATCTGTATGTGGAGAATACAGCATCTGTATGTAGAGAATACAGCATCTGTATGTGGAGAATACAGCATCTGTATGTAGAGAATACAGCATCTGTATGTGGAGAATACAGCATCTGTATGTGGAGAATACAGCATCTGTATGTGGAGAATACAGCAAATGTATGTGGAGAATACAGCAACTGTATGTGGAGAATACAGCAACTGTATGTGGAGAATACAGCATGTGTATGTGGATAATACAGCAACCGTATGTGGAGAATATCTCAACTGTATGTTGAGAATACAGCAACTGTATGTGGAGAATACAGCAATTGTTTGTTGAGAATACAGCAATTGTTTATGGAGAATACAGCAAATTTTTGTCGAGAATACAGCGATTGCTTGTTGAGAATACAGCAACCGTATGTGAATTTCAGAAAACAGCAACTGTATGTGGAGAATACAGCAATTGTTTGTGGAGATATAGCAATTGTGTTTTATGTAAAAAATATTTTTCAGTTCTTCAGTTAAACTTTGCGTGTAGTGTCACTTTGACATTAAACTGGTCAAAAAATCCCCCAATTCGTTCACTTGATATAGATCTATTCCAATCTTTAGTGTATACAAATGTTTGTTCAAAAGAATTAATTATCCGTAAAAATCATTTGATAAGCATTTTCAATACATATAGTTATATTCATTATTTTGTTATACTTTTTTCATACAACACTTCCTCATCCAAAAATTCTGATTCAATGTACAGTCCTTTTGTTGAAAGATCGATAACTCAATTCAATGGAAAGGGGAATACCCGAATATAGTTGACCATTTTTCATTGGCGGCATGCTTTAACGCACCTTACATCCTTAACAAGAAATTTGAATTATATATGCTTACTAAACAATCTTTTACAAGAAGACCTATCACGTCTGGCATTTAGAGTTGAAATATAAATGCTTCTACCTCTTTCGACTAAGCCCACTCTTCAAAAATGCATCGTTCATTTAGTATATGTTTAATCCTGACATTAGTATATTTCATTATCGGATTGTACAATGATGAAGTTCGTGCAGAAGATGTTGCTGCTATGGAAACAATAAAACAGGTTAAATTGTTTTAAAAACAAACATTATTTACTTAAGTATAATTTTAAAATGTTTAAGGCATTTTTTTATCATTATGACATGCATGAATCATAAAAGAAACTGCATTTCGAAACAAAATGGTAATACATGTATTTCATTTGGTAGTATTAATAAGACGGTAGAAGTCAAATAGGTTTACATTTTAGATGGGGTATTTTCAGTTTTACAAATCTTGTGTGAAAAAAGGTGTAGTTTCAAATCCTATGACCGATAATTTATATTTTTAAGTTCACTTCGGCGTTTTGGTTTTACTTTCTTAATTTATCAATGTCACATTAAAATTTAAAAAAAAACTTATTATATGTATATAATATATATTGCGTTTACTAAAGAAATGTCCCAAGTAATTATTTCTTACTTTATTATTATACAATTTACTAAAGAAATGTCCCAATTCAACATTTCTGATTTTATTATTTTACAGTTTACTTTAACCGCTTTTATGACAGCCGATGTAGCATACACAATATTTAGAATAGTGAAATTTGATAGGAAATTTTAATGAAAACAGCAATTACTAATAATACAGTTAACAAGACAGCTGATATTAATGAAAAAATATTCAGCTATCGGGTTTAACACCTGTTGGAAACTGTTCTTTGTTTTATTCCGGTTTAAATCCTTTTTGTGCTAATTAGGTAAACATGCAACTTGTTTATTACCTAAGTAATTTCAAAATGGATTTTTCAATAGTATCAATTAATATGAAAAGCATTCTTTTTTTATTCTTTTTACAATTATCATACCTACTTTGTTATCATATGAGCCGCGTCATGACAAAACAAACATTATGGGTTTGCGAGACCACCCTGCGCATCTGCGCAGTTTGATCAGGATCCATGCTGTTCGCCTACATATCCTATAACAAGTAGAGAAACTGATAGTGAACATCATGGATCCTGATCAGACTGCGCGTTATGTTGGTTTTGTCGTGACGCGGCTCATATAGTTTTTTAACATCTTTTTGTTTTCGTTTTTATTAAGACCAATATCGAGGTGGACGACATAGGATGTATACCGCCTTCCGAGATGGACTGTGACGAAGATATTGTAGATATGTTTGTTCCCGCTGGCACATTGTGTTTCCCTGTAAATGAAGCTGGACCAAATCTTATCTGTATTAATGGAGAATGGGTCGAAGCTATCTCAGGTATTTTTTACCAGCTCCATGGTCAGTATTTCCTAATTTATGGATTAGGAGTACTTCATAGCGTATTTTATTGAGATGCCAATTATCTGTTTACATTAATCTAATTAGAATGATGACGCTGCTTTGAAAAAAAATGAGTTTTTATAATATTGCAGTTTTTCTTCTTGCATTCGTTTTATTATCATGTTTATAGTAAAAATAAAAAATAATATCGATAAAAGCAATACGCGTTACCTGTCTTAGACCTCTTGTGAATTTTAATACAAAGAAATCTACAGTTTTATTTTGCTATTTGTTATACATTATAAAAAATATAATGTATATTTCTTTCTCGTATTGTTAAGTCATGCTTTGGATCATTTGTTTTCGGGTATAGTCGAGTCAGTTCTAATAAATTGTGACATTGTAGTAGCAAAGTCGGACAGAGAAAAGAGATCTCACGCGGTTTGTACTACACATCGTTCAAGAAGACGTTCAAGATGGAGAAGACGTCGAAGGAGATCGCCTTATCAGACGTGTATAAGTACGTTTAATCAATATTTGAGCCACGACATGACAAAACCAACATAATGCGTTTGTGACCAGCCTGGGTCCAGACCAGCCTGCGCAACCGTGCAGTCTGATCAGGATCCATGCTGTTCGCTATCAGTTTCCCTATTTGTAATAGGGTTTGTAAGTGAACAGCATGGATCCTGATCAGACTGCGCGGATGCGGATGCTGGTCTGGATCCATGCTGGTCGCAAACGCATTATGTTGGTTTTGTCATGGCACGGCTAATTTACTTACTTAATGTTTTGTTATATTAAAATGAACAAGGAACAACAAGCTTTCAAGAAATTGAAATTTGGCCTCTCTGAAATTGTTAATTTGGGATTGTGTGTCAGTTATGAACGGATTAGGGAACGTTATAGTGCGATATTATTATGAACGTACTGGCATATTTCCGATGTATTTAAATTGTAAAGTCAGATATGAGTCGTTGGAATCGGATTCAAAACTAAAATTGTTATTCCTATACCTTTTAATTTTAGTTACAAAAATATCTTTGTTTGATATAATTTGATAAAATAATGTCTACATGGTTTTAGAAGAGGTGTAAATGAAGTTTTAATGATAAAGATAGTTTATCTATGATAATATTTTTGATTTACATATCAGGTCCAAACCACGGTCCTCAATTTACCAAATGTCCATCGTCTCTAACATTTTATGCTCCGTCAAAGAAAACAGAAGCGGTAGTCTCCTGGGAAGTACCCGTTGCAACTGACATAGAAGATGGCAAATTAAGGTAACATTTTGTTTAAACTATGTTTAATCACTACATTTTGCAAAACGAAATAAGTACTTTGTCTTTTTGATTCTATCATTTTGAAATTATTACAATTTATATTTCATATAAGATAAACTGTTGAAGTTATTCATTCGCATAAGCATGACAATATTAACATCTAATATGACATTAACATTTACGAGCTGTATCGTTATTTATTTTTAACTGTTTTTGATCTGGTGATTTATCGCCTGACCAGTGCTATCTCCATATTTTTCAAATTCCGCTGTCTTCTCTTTCATAAACCTAAGATCATCCTTGGAAGCACACTCATTCGCATATACGTAGTTTAAATAGGACTTGTTTAACGGTACAAAACGACTGCGAAAACACGTAACCACCAAACATAGCAACTTGATCGCGCCACGTTTCGTTTCTCAAAAACCTCTGCTGAGGTCACTTTAACATAAAGTTATAAGCTGGTAAAAAATGTTGTGGATATAAGTAGACTAGCTGTGGCCTATGGTATTGTATTAGTACGTATGTTAAAGTTGCACGTCTCAGTCTTTTCAAGACATTAAGACAGATGTTATTATTTAGCCCTAATCATCCCGTACTTGGTCATCATTTTTTGCTCACTTGTTTTGGTCTTATCATACAATATGTCTTACAAAACATGTACGACAGTGAATGAAACTGTATAAATAATGAACGGGACCGAAAATTATTAGCCTTTGTCAGCTGTAGAGAACTAGGCTAGCATGCACGTATGTTTAATTTGTCCAGGTTTTTGTACTCTTCCCAGATCAATTGTTTGTCTTGTTAATGTTGACTTTGTCGTTTGTTTTGAGTTTTCGCCTCTTCGCCTTGCGGACTGAAAGTACGACAACGTTTTGACTTTGTCGTATTTTCGTGTTCTCGCCTGTTGCGCTGGGAAGCGAAATACATCATTGCACAAAATCAGCCACCATAGTAATCGGAATATATTTGTCTGGAAGATAGAAAGAAAAAAATAGATGATATTGATTTGGATTTGAGTGAATATGCTATAAATCACATTTTGCTATATTCACGACGACATATCTACAAAAGCACTTAAATAGGCAAATACAAACAGCAAAGGTATCGATGAATAGAAACATATAGAAATCGAATAAATATCCCTTTAATGTGTGTGACTACAATGCCATAAAGTCACATGGTTGGTCGTCTTTGCTATAGAATAAGCATGTGCACGAGTGGTAACTAATAGGCTTAGTAACTAACTAGAAAAAGAATATGAATAACGACCACCCCAACCTATTAATGTTTTTTCGATCAAGTCATTTGAGTTGTTTGTGATCATTTGTGTATAAATGGACTTATTTAAGACATTGAATGATTTATTAATAACGAAATAAGAATTTACTATTGTAATGTTATCAATTTGTTACCTAACTGACATTTAACATGAACATTTAATACTTTACATATAACAACATTTCTTTAGTTAAGTTACAAACATACAAAAAATGCGTATTAATGGTTTAAATTGGTTTAATAAGTACCATGTTTTCGTTTTATTTTAAGTGTTACACAAACGAGTGGGCCGAAAAATGGCGGTATCCTAGATGGTGATCCAAATGGTAGAAAGTATTATGTTTATTACAAAAGTGCAGGAGATACCGGTGGCTTGACTGCTACTTGCAAAATAGAAATTATAGTAAAAGGTTTGCAATAAATAATTTCATTCTTTTACGAGTTTATTGCACACAGGATTAAATTAACGGAGAAGAAAGCATGTACTTACGGATTTATTATCGTGACAACGCATAGCTGTTGCTCGTTTTTGATAATATATATAACGTAGTTGCAATGAGGTCCCTGTAGTTTCATTAAACCAAAAGGCTAGTTAAAGGTTTGAGTGCCCTTTTCACACCAATAATTTATCGGTTATGATAAAAAATCTCTCGCATGTCGGCATCATGTACACGTCTTTCACGTACATACCTTGGAGAGGTTTTGGAAATAAATGATAATTTAAAATCAGCAACATGTATGTGTATGTTATATAATTGAGCTTCTTATATGTCTTAAATCTTGTATTTTATCTATGATTCTCAACTTTACATTCACGGAAAAGTTTTTGGAAACATAATTTGGTATTTATTAACTTAGTAATTGTAATAGTTTTGCGACCTTGAAACGAACACACAAAACAACATTTATGCCTATGACTTCTACTATGCTAATTTCAATGTTTTTTTTTAATAAATCTTCATCCGGCTCATCTACATGGACTCCTGTTGATAACAATATTTATACATTTGTAAATTAAATAATGCTCTGAAAGGATTTTGGTGATCTTAGCTTGTGGTATAGTCAATGTTTGCATTCAGAAAAGTGTTATCTGTATTGTATTATTATTTCATTTAGTAATAATCTGCCCTATACCCAGTGCACCAAAGTTTGGTACTATCGATTGTTCAGGAACGTACTATGGACATTCTTGTGTATTCGCCTGTGTTATTGGCTACGGCCCAACAATTACAGGTATGATGTGTCAAATGAATGGTCAATGGACGAATGGAGGATCATCTGAATGTAGAGGTAAAAAAATACTGAACTATTTTGCTAAGTATATAAATTATTTGTGTACAACTAAATTCATTAAATTAATTCCATATTAACTTTAAAGGGACGATATTTGCAAACGATTGCTTGGTTGTTTAAATAGGTTTCATATCACACCGACAGAGTAACGGTAACATGGCGCCGTTTCAGCTACACTGGTGGAGGAAGGCCTCAGGTGCCATCCGTGCATTATTTTAGGCACGAAAGGCACCTGAAAAGAACCACTGAAATTCCATAAGCTAGATGGACAACTTCCTCATATGAATAAAATCCTAGCGATTAGGGCAAATTCTTTGAAGTCAACTAACTTAACCACTCGGCCACGCACGCCCCTTATTTATGAAATTTGAAATCAAGACCTACAATGAAAAATACAATCGACCGAATTATATGTAAATAGAACATCATATCAGACTTTTTCTACCCTTTATTGAAACATTTTTTACCGTCCACGTCAAAAGCATTATAAATTGAATAAAGTTTTTTTCCCATCAAATTGTGTTATATCAAATATGTAAGAGAATGTGCAGCATGCAGAGGTGATGTTTATATACAAGTTCATAAAACATTTAATAAAAGAAGCGGAATACAATGCTGAAATTAAAAATAGAATGTAAAGAGTAGTCGTAAAATGTTTGATGGTTGGGAGTAGGTTATTTATTTGCGTAATTTATCGCGTGAAACTTGAAAATATTTTTCAAGTAGAGATTCTCACAATTGTTTAATTATCATACGAATTGAAGTTTTTAAATTAACAATTTAGCCAATAATTATTTTTCCTTGGCTAGGAAATCTACAAAAAAAATCTAATTTTGATTTTAAAAGTACACATAAAAATTATGTAATCGAATACATTCACTGCATAATTAACTGTCTTTATTATCAACCTTAAAGAACAATGAACAAAAAAACACAAAGTTGATGTAGGCTTGATGGAGTATGTTAGTTGTTTCCATCACCGTATATTTTCTTACCAATGGAAAAAGAGTAAGAATTGATGTTTACATGAATGCTTTAACACTGATTGCAAATCAGAAGGGTAAGGCCAAGCTCTAGACCAGCGATATTTTTGGTTACCGAATTTAGTGTCTCAAAAGTGGTAGTCATAAATAAAACATCGTATACTCCACCAAAATAAAACACGATTATTTACTTACGGAGTAAAACTAAGTTTTCGGTGAATGATTCTTCTGATAATAAATATATTGATACAAGATGATTAAGCAAAATGACTTATCCCAGACGATTACCTTAAAACATTATATCTAGGATTTGATGGTAGGTAAATAAGGCACATAGTGAATTATGGGATTTGATGACGGGTACACAATGCCACAAAGTGAAGTCTAGGAATTAAAAGTGGGTACACAAGACACACAGTGATGTCTAGGGTTTAATGGCTGGTAAACATGGCAGATACAAGGTTACAACACGTCATCAAAACTTGCATATTCTGTATTTATCAGTTTATTTTTTTTATTTTTTTATTGCAGGTGTGAGTTGTCCCCAGTCCACTCCTACCATAGAACATGGGCATTATTCCTGCAGTACCTTCACTGTAGGAACCACTTGTAATCCAACATGTGATCAAGGATATTCTGTGTTCAAATTTTATCCTATAACTTGCAAAAACGACGGACAATGGTCACTTCCAGTGGGTACTATATGCAAAGGTATGTAATGTTTCCTTTATAGGAATTAAAGCCTTGAAAAATCAAACCGAATTGTTGAATTACTTTACGAAGCAAGCCATGAAACACTCCTTAAATAGGAATTTAGAATAAAATATTAATTGTACTAGAACAAAAGAGAAGTTTAAAATGACATTGATTCTGTTTGAGTTCAAATAATGGCAATAAACCATTGCTTCCACTCGGCAGCAAATATGTTAGTTTTGATTTAAAATATCTATTTCTCTATCTTTATTTTCGATTTTATTGTCAAATTTTCAACTAGCTGGATGTTTTTATTATGTAAATAGAATCATCTTTCCTGTATACTTTATGATATGTTCGTTTTCATATTCAGATTCCGATCCACCCACTTTATCGAATTGTCCATCAAATATAATGATATCTTCTGACAAAGGAGACACTTCAGCTGTCGTTACATGGGAAGTGCCATCTGCCTCTGACAACCAGGATGCTACTAGCCCTTCAGTAATACAAACCGCTGGCTCTATATTGCCTGGTACCCGGGTTGAAAGCGGAGTTGTTTACACAGTAAAATACGTGGCTTTCGATAGCGCTGGAAACCCCTCAGAAGAGTGTTCATTTAACGTGCAAGTAAAAAGTGAGAGTTTTGTGCATAATCTGTTATATAAGTGCTGTATAAATGCAAGTTTTGCCACGATTTCTGTTGACTTGATTCTAGTTACTTTTTGTCAAATTTAACATGAACTTAAGTTGTTATTTTTTCTTTAATTCAGCTACTAAATGTTCCTCTATTTCTGCACCACATTATGGCTATTACCAGTGTGACAAAGGTTTCATTTATGGAAGTCAGTGTTCTTACTCCTGTTACAAAGGATATCTGTTACAAGGAGCGACCTTGGCAACATGTGACCAGAATGGCGTATGGAGTTCATCTGCGCCAACATGTAAAGGTATGAATTTTAAGACAAACTATTTCTTTTGCAAACCTTTTCCTAATCATTTTTGTTCTGTTCATTTGGCAATGGCCTCTTTAAAAGCACAGAGAACTTCTATAACACTAATATCGACCGAAGCTGAAACAAGTTACACCAACATGTGAAGGTATGAGTTTAAATCCTACTTTTATAGACAAAACATTTCTTTGGCAAATCTTTTCCTAATCATTTTTGTTCTGTTCAATTGATCACGGCCTCTTTAAAAGCAAAGAGAACTACTAAAAGACTAATATCGACCGAAGCTGAAACAAGTTACACAAAAATGTAAAGGTATGAGTTTAAATCCTACTTTTATAGACAAAACATTTCTTTGGCAAATCTTTTCCTAATCATTTTTGTTCTGTTCAATTGGCCATGGCCTCTAAAGCAAAGAGAACTTTTATAAGACTTATATCGACCGAAGCTGAAACAACTTACACATTGTCAAAGGAGAGACAAACGAGGTTTTTCACACGCGTTAAATGGTCAGCTGTGCACTGCATGCTTTGAAAAGAGCCGAATATAGTTTGAAAATTGAAAATAGATTTATTATTTATTTTAGACTTGGCTGACACATTTGTGATGGTTTATCGTAAGGCATTGGACATTATTTATATCCCGATTAAATAATAAATTGATTTTAATAAGCAAAGGATCAACAATGAAACTTTACATTTGAACATAAGTGATAAGGCATAAAAATGGTCATACCCGTCATAAAATCTAACCAAAATACAATTTCATTTGATTTGTATTTTAGTGGGGTGAGTTTATATGTGATCATTGATGTGTATGTTTTAAATATTAAATCAAGTTATCATGCACGTTTCGAATTTCGAATTATATGTACATGTATAGGATTTGAAATCATTTTCAAGAAATATTTCATTATTTGTTTCAGAGATTGAATGTTTACAACCAGACCAGTACGGGATAAATTTATCCAATGGTTACTTCAGTTGTCCTTCTCCAATAACGTACCAGTCAGCGTGTTATCCAGTTTGTAACAGTGGATTCGAACTTGCACAATACGCGACAGCGATATGCATAGTAGATTTAAATAATAATCCTTCGCTAAGTTTGAGTTTGCAACCCGAATGTCTTGGTAAGATTTGACGTTAATAAAGTGATTATGTTTGTTTGTGTTGGCCTTCATGCACAATATACTCGTTTCCAAGGAAATAATTTCTGATTTTCTATAACTGATTAATATAATTCCATTTTATATATCTTAAATGTTTTTGTCTTTTTCAAATCCTTCTGATAATGTTGTACATAGAAAAGAACATACACAACTGTATCTATGGTGTCTATGGAGTGTTTTTTGTGTGTGTTTTTTGTGGGTTTTTTTTGAGATTTATTATTATTTTTATTATTATTATTCTTATTATTCTTATTATAATTATTATTATTATTATTATTATTATTATTATTGTTTGTTTTAGATAACGAACCTCCAACGTTTAATGATTGTGTAGGAACAAAAGTTCTTACATTTCCTGCAGCAAAGGGAAAGACAACTGCAGTAATACAGTACGATATCCCAACAGCCTCTGATAATGTAGATCCTTCCCCTGAAGTTATAAAGATACGAGGACCAGATAGCGGAGACACCGTGGACGCAAGTGATATAGAATATGTTGAGTTTCAAGCAATGGATGATGTTGGGAACGTCTCACCACTGTGTTTATATGTCCTTCAAGTAGATGGTAATAAAATGAGGCGAATACTGGCTCAATGCTCAGAATAATAATTATTATTGTCTGATTTTAAAATCTACCGTTTAGAGTTTAATGAACCTTTATGAATATTGTGTATTTTGCAATACTGTTTAATGGTTTTAAGGTAACAGTCATAAATTCAAATATAATTTCATGTATTTTGTTTATACTATTATTTTATTGCATTTAAATCACGGAACACAGCCCTAATAATACACAATCACACAGGACCACTTGAAACGCACTTATTAATGCAACATTGCCGTCATAACTATCATTATTATTCAATACATCTATGTGAAAGGTACGATGGTTCAGAAAGTTAGATGTATGCCTCATCTTTATCAAGGGGTCGTCGATTCGAGTCCTACTGGTGTCAATATTTGCTACTCTTATTTGAAATATGGCTACTGTGGAGACAGAATTCAATAAGTTTGCTTAAATTAATTTATTTGAAGTAAACATAGCAGTTTTTTAATTGTAGACAAATAATTAACACAATGTATCATATGAGGATACATTGTCATAAAACTAGGGCCTAAACCTTCAAGGCTTAGATTGAGAATCATAGACTTTTTCACTGGAGGATCCCTACTTTGATTAACATGGCTGTCATTTTATGTTATATTTCTTCAACAGTTACTGAATGCCCTGCCTACATTCCACCAGATAATGCAGAAGTATCCTGTACATCAGACTATATATATGGTAGTATTTGTACATTAACCTGTAAAATAGGTTACGAAAGTCAGAGCTCTGCGGTAGTTCAATGTTTAGAGGACGGGTCATGGAATGCCACAAACTTTGAATGTTCAAGTAAGACCCTTTTGTTTTCAGGGGTTGCTTTCTCATAAAATCATTATTTTTTTATTCTTTCATTTGGCAAAACAGATATTCTAATTACTATGCGGTTGATAAACATAAGTTTTAAACATCTTCCATTGTTAAATTTTAAACTTTCATCATTTTTATCTGCTTACGCGGTTCTAGTTGGTAGCTTACATTTACTCTCACTATCCATGAACAGGCTTAATCAAACAGAACCTGCAAAATCGTCAATTTTGCAGCTTTGGGCATTTTAAGGTTACATATTTTAATACTTCTTGATACAGCATACATTTTTGTAGTAATCACAGTAAGAATTTCAACATTATAGTTATCATAATTCATTATTGCTCAAAAACCTGTTTGTATTTTATTTCAGAGGTTCTATGCCCATCGGTGCCAACACCTCCAGACAATGGATTTTACTCTTGTGCAGCAAACACCTTTCCCTATGGCACAATATGTCAAGCAATTTGTAATGAAGGTTTTGCACTATCACAAATGTCTTTCGCAAGATGCACGTTTGATGGGACTTGGGAAATATCTACAACCCCTGATTGCATAGGTATAAGATGTAAATATATATACAGATAAATGATTACTAATTGTTTTTATAAATATTTTAACCGAAATACCTGTAACGTAGAAACACGCTTTATATTTAATAATTATTGCTTATGATATAAAATATCATCTTTACATTCATGTACAGATGCTGAACCACCAGTGATTATAGACTGTCCATCTGAGATAAAGATTAATGCAGAGAGGGGATTAGAAAGTGCTATTGTAACTTGGACTGTGTCATCAGCTAATGATAATTTTGATAACAGTCCATCAGTAATGAGAGTGTATGGACCTAACTCCGGTGAACGTATTGAAGATAGCGCGATAGTAAAATATCAGGCAACAGATTCTGCTGGCAACCCATCAGATATTTGCACAATATATATCACCGTTACAGGTAAATTGAAACAAATTGATGTTTTCTTGTAAATCACCGGATGTCCCCCCCCCCCCCCTGTAGACCCCCCCCCCTCAACATTTTCAGCAGTAGTGATTAGAGATCAGAATAGTTTGTCAAGTAGTTATTTGATCAGTTTGTATTTCTTGTCAAGATCAAAATTTTACTCAGTCCACAAGTTTAGATTATATACTCAAACATGAAGATGCTTTCAAAACCTTGCTCTTGGTGATTGTGTGTAGACGGAGTTTTAAAGCTTTGGGAAATAGCCCCTTTGTGGTTTTTCGTAAAATCATTATTAGCCCCATGAATGTCAAAACAACAAGCAGTGGTTAAGATAGTAACGTTGTCTACGGTCTAGAAGACGGCCTCTGTTAGGGCTAACAACTTGAATACCTTTTCATATTATCTTATATAACAGGTAGTTACTGATCAGCAATACGTGCCTTATTAATGGTTCATAACGAGATTAATGCTTGTAAGATATTAGCCAAAAATCATTTCAACGGGCTTAAAATCGCCGGAAAATAATCGTCATTATCAATATCAAGTGGCAATTTCATGGAATGATTAGAAATTAACAGCATTGGATTTGCTTAAGTCTGAACATTTCTTTGAAAGAGTCCAAATTTGTATTTTTAATTTTCACCCGAAAATGCACAGTTGGCTAGCATGAAGATTCATTTTTTTACAGACCCAGCTCGTCCGAAAGAAATTTAACCCCCTCCCTTCTCCTCATCTTAAATGCTCCTTACAATTACAATGCTTTTGCAGTCATCAGATGTACTTCACCATACTGGCCCGATGATGGAAGAATGTCATGTGACCTTGGTAACATTTACGGGAGCGAATGCACATACACGTGTGATGAAGGTTATGAAGTGTCATTTCCATCTACGACTGTCTGTGAGGAAGATGGTTCTTGGTCTTATGGTGGCCAACCGCCATCATGTTCTCGTAAGTAAACCCTTTGATTATTAGTCTTTTATTCTCAGAAAGTCGAGTATATGTAAAGACAGTTTTATTAAACCTGCTGTCGTTTCAATATCAAAATGTCATTATTAGGTTACTGTAGAGGTTTGACATTTAGCACAGAAACACTTTGAATTATTGGTAATATATGAACAAAAGTGATATCTCGGAAGCTTTAAAATCAGCAAAATTACAAGAAAATTGTAGGCTCGGTTTGAATGAGTGTGTACATTAAGGATAAATAAGACACATATTCAAAACATCACTCAGGCCCCCCTTGCACCGATTTGAGCGGTAATTAATTTTTCAACACTTAAAAGTTTCGTTATCAATGATCCCGAAGAACCAAAAAATGTAACACCTCTAAAGTGAAGAACGAGGCATCTTTTTACAGATGCCACACGGTACGTGACACCTGCTGTTGTGATGTACACTATAAATATCTGGAAAAAGATTATCCCTCGGAAGCATTACAATCATCAAAATTATATGAAAATTGTAGACTCGTTTTGATTGGGTCAGTACATTAGGGATAATGAAGAAGTGCAACATTATTCACTCCCCCTAGCACCGGCTTGAGCGGTTCTCAATTTTCAACACTTAAAAGTGATTAAATCAATGATCTGGAAGGTCCAGACAAATAAAACACTGGTTTAAAATCAAGTACATTTATGTGATTGATGTAAATTAATATGCTTTAATTCCACAAATAATGATACCTACAAATAAAGAGACAGGTAAAGAGACAAGGTTTGTATACGTTACACACATTTTTATTACAAATTCATTTATATATTCTTAATATTGAATGTGTAATTTAGTTTAAATCATTTCAATACACTTTTGTCGTATTATTGGTTTTTTAATATTTAAGTATTGGTTTTACAGCAATAACCTGTGGCCCACCTCCAAGTGTGTTATATGGAACATTTGCTTGCATCGATATTATGTATAGGTACGAAAGTTTATGCATACTGGAATGTGCCAGTGGATATTCAACTGATAGTGCTGTATATGCAATATGTCAGTCAAGTGGCGAATGGCATATCTCTTCAAATAGCAGTTGTAAAGGTAATATTTTAAAGCAACTTGATTTATATATGTCGGTTAACAGTCTACATTTCGTATTATATGCATCTATGTGTGTCAATTAAAGATGCATGTCTCCAGATAAGCCACTATAGTTTACGAAAATCTACCTTGAGAAAAAATATAATAAAATGTTAAGAGAAAATATTTACAAATATTTACATGTTATATGCAATCAATGACTAACTTTTGCTGTATCTGTCACCACTTATCATCATCTAATTCTAACTCATTAACGACTGTTTTTGCAAATTCTGACCTGTTGTGTTTTTTATAATGTTGCAGAATATATGTGTAAATTAACTTCCTTGTTAACTGGACAATATTTTACTCTTTTTTTTAATTTCATTAATATGAGCATTAATCTAGAAGCTTGAAGCTTATAAATAAAGACATACATGTACCGTGATATATGATATATATGTACCAGTAAATTTTATAGTATAATTATAACCATTTTACCAAATATTACAGATATTGTTCCACCAACCTTATTAAACTGCAAGACCTACCAGACATTTTACACTGATCGTGGTTTGGATACTGCACAAGTAACATGGAGTATTCCGACTGCAATTGACAACACAGACAACCCTAGCGACATCATCATTGAACAGCTATCAGGTCCTACAATAGGCTCTAGTATCAACATAGGGACGACAGTAGTTGACTATAGAGCTGTTGATACGTCTGGAAATCCATCCATCGTGACATGCTCTATTACGATAAATGTAGAAGGTAAATCAATAGTTATAATTATTTAGAACCAAAATCGTGTCGTTACCCAATTTATTTTAAATGTGATTGGCACCAATATCCCCTGGAATAGAATGACATGAAGAGCCCTAGAATGGCATAAAGAAGCAACCTTTTTATTATTATTTTGCGCCGCGCCAAATTGTAATATTTGCCATTTGAATGATAGTTTTAATGATACAAGCTCTTATTAATAAATCGTTTATTTAGCAATTGTCAATGAAATTGCTTGAGAATTATTTTATTCAGTGTCATCTTTGACAAGATACATTTCATGTAACATTTTATATGTATGGAAATTTTATAGTATAATCTATATCACATTTTAAACAAAAGATAATTGAATTTCTTTAGGTTTTTGCATTATATGCCTTATTAGATTGTTATGGAATTGATGATTTTCATGAACTCAATCTTTTTAACCGTTTACAAATATCTTTTATCTTTCAGCTGTTTATTGTAATCACCCGAAATATTATTTTGATGACGTGAACTTGGAATACACGTGTACATCCTTTAACTGGGGCGATACATGTAGCTTGGCATGCCCCTTAAAAGATTCATTAAATTTAGAAGGACCTGATTTGATAACATGTGAGGCGACTTTCTCAGGTTCTTCACCAGTAACAACCTGGGAATATGAGGGTAATGTTGTACCATTCTGTGAAGGTGAGTCATGTGCCGAGTCACTCTATATAAAATATACTAGATTTTGATCATTATTATGTATATATTAATATAAGTCAAATATTAAGTAAGGTTAAATAGTTTTATACATTTGTCTGTTGTAACGAATTGTAGAAAATACTGGACAATACTAAATGTCAATGTACGAGGAGTCCCTATTTGTCAAACAGAAACAGGGTAAATACAATGTAAAGAAACAAATTGCGATATTTAACTTTTCATGAAAATTTAAGAAATCAAGAAAGAGGAAGTACCTCTAGTGCATTCAGAACAAGAACGGAAAAACACAGACTTGAGTTTTATCTAGTTTGTTCACGAGAGAGATTATAGAAGGCGTAACATGTTTATGACATGTTTAATTAATATAGATCTTTAAATATTCTAAATCATATTTACCGATTACGATATATTGTTTTGTCTACATCCTTGTGTAAGCCATTTTACATTTTACAACTGATCTCATCGGATTAAAAAATGTATAATTATATGTAACTAATTATATTGGAAATCACTATATATTGTTATAAGGTTCCAAGTACTGTGCGATTTGTCTTATTTTATACAACATTGCTATTAAAATGAAAAGAAATATGTTTATGGATTTTATCAACGCTTAAAGTAAAATGTAATAAATATTTATAGCTTGTATTGTGTGCGCATTTTGTAGAATCTTCTTAGTATGTATACGCCTCTTAATTTTAGTGGTCCGAAAAATTTAATCTTACCCACTATACTTTCTGACGTCATCCTGAAAATTGTATTATTGAAATTTATTAACTCATTTATGTAAAGTTATTCAGCAATGTTTTTATATTATAACATTTTTATAGCCCAGGTCTGTCCTCTGAATCTAACAATTCCACAAAATGGCTTGCTGTCGTACACAAATGATAATCAACCGGTTGTGTTCGTTTTATGTTACGAAAACTATGATTTGCCGTATGAATTTAATGGACTTATCCTGTGCCTTGATTCTGGATTATGGAGTACCGACGAAGTTCCAGATTGCACAAGTATGTTAAACTTAACGTTCAATGTTTATCGCCTCTAAATTAATTGTCAGTATTGAACAGCTTTGACTCTTAATATATAAGTTTATATAAATATACTTAAAGGTCCTAAAACTTTTTGCATATGTTTTTAAATGCATTCTTAATTAATATAATAATATTTTATTGTCGTCTTTTTTCTCAAGGAACTCGTCGTCCAGGGCTCAACCTTTTGCCTGTTTCGTTTTACTACTCTGTAGATTGTAACGCACAGACTGGCACATCTATTAATGCGATAAAAGACCAAATATTAGCTCTTCTAGAGGATTATATTGGAACTGCCCTCGCACCTGATTGTCTTGCTGGTTCAACGTGTAGTTACGATGATCTTGTAGTTCAATGTGGTTCCACTAGCAAGAGAAAGAAAAGAGATATTAATGATTATCGTTTTAAAAGAGAAGTATCCGAACTATTCGTCAATTTTTCATTGATTATCACCGGAACAGTTTCAAATTGGGATGAACTTTTGATGTATGAGGATTTTCTATTTCAAATGTCTGATCAGCTTAAAAATGCTGTATCTGCCGGACAGTTTGACTTGAACGATCTTGCAGTTGTCCGAGGTTCTTTTTTCAGGGAGCAGATTTCTAGTACTAAATGTGAGGGAAGCGGTCAAGTACAATCTGCTTTTAAATGCAGTAAGATATGAAATCAATTTACTTTCTTAAATTGCTTGTTATCAAGGTTTAAACTGATATATACGTTATTACATTACAATGTATTTTTACAGTCGGAATACAGTTCGAAATTCTATGAATATATTTGAATTTGAATCTTGAAGATCAATAAATAATTATAATGTGTAACTTTCAGTGCCAGTCAGAAAAGATTGAAAACAAAATGCAACTGTTGTTTTTTTAGAAATTTGACTAAATCAATTAAGAATAAGAAAAAATTCCCTATAACATAACGATTACTTGTGCCAGGTATTTTATTACATATTTTCATTCCCATCATTTCAACTTTTTGCAGCATTGTTAACTATTTTAACTACTTGAGTCTTCTTAAAGTTCAAATAGTTTAATCATATACTGTTACATTACGTACTAAAATATTTATTAAAAGTGTATTTTATCTATCATTAGAAACATGTGCTGCTGGTATGTTTCTTGAAGATGTTGACGGAGTAAAAGGTTGTAGGAAGTGTCCAATTGGCACTTATATGGAAAATGACGGTGCTTCATCATGCATATCATGTCCACCCGGCACAAGTACAAATAAAACTGGATCTAAATCAGCTGATATGTGTGTGGGTATGTTACAGATTCATATATTAATAAATTCAATAAACGAATAGACATATGCACATATGACGAACGATTAATGCACGTCTTTAAATACACAACAGCACGTGTCAAGTGCCGTGCAACAGCTGTAAAAATATGCCCCGCACTTATGTTTGTAAAATTTTCTGGTCCTTCGGGATCGTTGATGCCGGCACTTTATATGTTGAGAATTGAGTACCGCTCAAGACGATGCTAGGGGGCGTGAGGGATGTTGCACTTATTCATTATCCCTCATGTACAGACTCAATCAAACCGAGTCTGCAATTCTTATGTAATTTTGTTGTCATTAATGCTTCCGAGGGATCACTTTGTTTCAAGATTTTTAACAATTACAAACCATTAATTTTATTTATTGAGGACATTTATTATTTTGGAGTGACATTTACTTAATTAGTAATGGTAATGTTCAATATAGAATACATAATGTAGCTATATATTTTATTTTATTTTAATAAGAACTTTGTCCCATTGGCTTTTCATCGTTGACTTTGGTAAAGCCGTGTACTCCTTGCGCCATTGGCTTTTATCAGGACGGTATTGGTAAAGCTTTATGTCAAAAATGCGACTTTGGAAAAACAACATTCAAAGTAGGATCACATAACTGCAGTCGTAAGAATCTTAACTTTATTTGCAAAAAGCACATCTAATTTCAGAGTAACTTGACATAGCTTAACCTTATCATATATTTTATTACACGTCTTTAATAGCAACTTTTCATAGTACGTATTAAAAGCACTTATTCCAATTTAGAAAACGTCAAACAGCCTAAATATGGAAAAACTGTTAACACTCTACGGAATTTATCAGACATTTACATTGTACATGTTATTATACTTTTGTACTTTTGGAATACTTTAATATAATTAAATGTAAAGAATATATTTATTTATAAGTGATGAACAGCATTGTTTATTTGACTTCAAACTTTTTTTAATTTGCGACAAATCACAAATATTGTTTCCGTAATTGACATATTTCAATGTTAATTTAAACGTTGATTAGGATTTTTATTGTTGTAGCGTATGACATTGTTCTCAGTTCACAAAGTTCAGAAGTAATAGCATCAGCATTAAACACAACGGATGTCATGGATGAAATGACCGTACTATTTTGGTTATTCAGGAGAAGTGGGTCTAACTTTAGTTTACATTTTGAGAACAACGTTGTAATTGAAGTTTCTGGACAGAGCTTCATCATTTATTGGTAAGTCTGAATTTGGAACATTTGCATATGGCTTGAATAAGGACAATGTTGGTCCTTTCGTTTATAAATTGTCTTAAAATTATACATATTATTTTAACATTAACACATGAAAATGCAATGTGTTTTCTATGTAAACATAATTTTAAGTAAATTCATTTGTTTATAATAGCAATGATTTATTACTTGTCTTTCTATTTTAAAAAATATATATATATATATATATGAAAAACTGTTAATAAATTAAATATATACGTAAAGAGACATGCTTATTTTTCATTAAAAATGTTCAAAAGGTATAGTTAAGCCACGCCAGATCAAGATTTGGTCAGACATGAAGTTCAAAACATCGAGCGTCCATACGTGATCCGCTCTTTATCTCGTATCTTTTTAAGTATTTTCATAAATAAGGCAAATACATGAGCCCTCTTAAAGGTCAGATTTTGGCGGCCGTTGATTTCCTGTCATATAAACAATTCTCGTGAAAGGTTATAAATATATAGGTTAAACAATTCAACTTAAAGAGAGACGATCATAAGGTCACTTTAAAAATGAAACTTAAAAAAATGAAAGCAGTTAACGGTTGTGAGAATATGTCTACAAAAATGGCTTACTAAGGAATATTTTACTTTACATTAATCATGTTTCTGCCAGGTCATCTAAACATGAGAGCATCTGATTGTAATAAGGGATTGCTTGTTGGATCTCCGGGCGAACTGAAAGTATCTGACATTGAGTCTAATGGTTATTAGTCGATCCCGACTGATTTAGAATTCATGTGGTATTGGTAGTCTGTCACTAACAGAGAAATATGTAATTATTGGTTAAAATTTCCAGGTAAGCCGGTTAAGTAGACAAATAAACAAGCTATTTATTTCATTTTTTAGAGAAAATATCAAAGAGCCAGGTAGCTAAATTAAATTCTTTTTTTAATTGACTATTCTTGTTAATGTTTTAGGAATAGTTTATCCATTATTGTACTGCTACCGGAATCCTCATTTGATATATGGGCGCATTTTGCTGTTTCAACATCAAACACTACAGTTAATTTCTACTACAATGGTGACATGATTGATTCCCATGCGATGGTCTCTCCATTGACGTTACCAGCAAATGCTTATGTTGAACTATTCACCAGCGGAGTAAACGGTTTGTACATAAGTATCTTATTTTTTCAAAAGCAATACAAACAAAAATCTAATGATGAATTTACATGTAAAAATTGTGTACCATAGGGTGAGAGCGTGAAATGATTGCTAACAAATATCATTTTAATATTGGTTTGTATCCCTTGTAAAATATTCCATTCCTTTACCATCACTTATATCTTCAGAAATGTTCTTGAATTCGCTGGCTATATATAGACATGTCCTGGTAGCTGATGGGATTACAAATCATCGATCTTCATGTGGATATGATATATCAGCAGCTGACTTTACATCGGACGATCTTGTTAGTGGCAATTCTGTAGTTCAGACTGAGCCATCTTCTTGTGCAGGTAAACTTTGATACTTCTTTTGTTTATTAACGTATTTATTTTACTATATAAATAGTCCAAATATAATTATCTATGTACTGGCATCTGTCAAAGTGTTTTGACATGAACTAAGCATATCACGTTTGATTGATACTTAAACAAATATTTTGATGGGCGAATTTTATGCATTAAAATGAAATTAGAGAACATACAATATAATCAGAAAGTCATTTGTTTGGATATTTCGTGATGCCCTACCCTTGATGGACAAGCTTACTTGTATACTTAATAATCATTATATACTACTTTCTCTGCAAACTAGCGATGTAACTAATTATAATTATTCAGCTACCAATTTCTGCGCTGATGATCCATGTGGCCAACATTTGTGTACAAACACACAATCTGGCTTTCTATGCACGTGCTCTGGTGGATACACGGGAACAAGATGCGAATTACCACCTGACAATTGTGAAGTAAATGAGTGTCAAAATGATGCAACATGTCTTAGTGGCAGTCATAATTACACATGTTTATGCAAACCTGGATATCGTGGAATCTTTTGTCAAACTCCACCAAGTAACAAAAATATAATTTCTTCTTCAAAATTATTATACTTTGAATAGCAAGAGTAGAAAGTCATGGCTATTGATTATTCAAAATTCAAAAGAGATATATGAACATATTTGAATATTTTGTCAATAAATTACAGTTTACATGTACGTATTTAGTGATGAGCGCAAAACAGTAGTTTAATAGTTCTTACATACTTTAAATTTTGCATAGAAGCTAAGTCTGGAAGCATTTTCATTTTTACACGAGCAAACAAAATTGATTTTCACAAATTGATGAAATTTAGTAAATGGTGGATGGAGTCCTTGGACAAGCTGGGGAGAATGTACATCAAGTTGTGACGGAGGTGTGAGGCAGAGAAACAGAACATGTGATAATCCTAGTCCAGGGCAATATGGCAAACAATGTGTTGGTGATGTGATGGAGCAGATTCAGTGTAATATAGATCCATGCAATAGTAAGATTTATATTATAGTTATTGTTAGTCTACATCATTTTTAGCGATAATTCGTCCGGTTTTGTCGCCTTATAAGAGACATTTATCTTAAGTTAAGTGAAGATTTTCTGCCGTAAATGCATAAAAATAATCAGTTTTAAAAATAATTAAAAAAAACAATAACATAATTATAAAGATATAAATTCAATTCGTGAAAAAAAGAATAAAAATTGTTAAAAATATTCGTGAATATTTATTTAATGAAAATAATGTGTACTCAATATATTGCTTCCAGGATTTCTTTTCATCGGAAATTAAATTGTTACAAACCAATGTTAGTGGTTCGAATATTAAAACTCCTCGTGTGATGTTTACTTTGTTCAATTTTTTTATTTAATACATTACAATACGAAGGTTATATCATTCCGATATTTATTATTTTGTAACATTTTTTCCACAACATGTTAGTATTGTTTTAAAAGATTGATGTATTTTTGGTTGTTTCTTATTTCAGTTACTAGTCCGTGTTTAAGCAATCCGTGTGAAACACACAGGTGTGTAGAGAAGTCAGGTGGTTTTTTATGTATATGCAGTCCCGGCTATACTGGTGATCTATGCCAAACCCCGATTGACCACTGTGAACCAAATCCTTGTCAAAACGGAGGTTCATGTCAAAATGGAGCGAACAACTTTACCTGTATTTGCCCTGAATCATTTCAAGGGAATCTATGTGATGAAGGTAAATTTGTAATTTAATGCATATCAATTGATTGAAACGTTTCCTGCGTTTAACACATTTGTCAAACTATCATTTTAATTGATAGTAATTTTTAAGTAAGTATATTTTACTAGACAGAATCAAATGCCATGTAAATTTTGTTCTTATACTCTTCTGAAATAAATGGAAAAGCGTTCAATTTAATTTTGTTTTATGTTTAAGAAACTGTTTCGTCATCATACTGGACCTCATGGTCACAATGTACAGTTACCTGTGGTGGCGGCGTTTCTATCAGGTCACGTGTCTGTGCGCACAATATCAGTTGTAATGAGCATATAGAGTCAAGATTGTGTAATAACGCTTCTTGTGCAGGTAAGAAATATTTTTATCGCTATTTTGAAGGAAAACAGCTATTTGGTTATCTTACTTTCTGTTGTTTAAAATGTGATCAATAAATCATATTAATTTATTTGACAATAAACTTTAATACTAATTTTCCTTTGAAAAATAAGGGAAGCATACAGTAACGACGAAACCTTTTTTTACACAGTTGATTTCTGCCAGTCATCGCCTTGTGGTACTAACCTTTGTATATCAAGTGAAGATGGATTTAAGTGTACTTGCGATGCTGGTTTTACCGGTGTAAGATGTGATACTCCTGTAGACTTTTGTGACGAAAATAGTTGTGAGCACGGACAATGTAGCAATAAAGCAACCGGATATGAATGTTTATGTGATGAAGGATATAATGGACATCTCTGTAATGTTCTAGAAGGTTTGTTTAATATATTTGTATCGTAGTTATTACGAAAACATATCATGTAGGAAAATAAAAGCTCTATTTTATACTTGTTTTCCTTAACAGTGTTGGGTTGATCTTACATTGAAATTCAATTATAAGAAAAAAGTTCTTTAAATTTAACAATGTCTACGCTTTTTATTACACGTTTATAATTTCATTATTGTACGAGGATTGTCATATTTTAATAATCGATAGGTTTTGTAGGTTGTGTCTGTTTTTAGAATAAATTATTTCTGACACATGTTTTAATGAATGTTATTGTTGTTTTGTTTAGAAACTGTTGGTTGGGGTTTATGGTCTGAATGGACTGTGTGTAATTCTACATGTGGTTTAGGACAAAGACAAAGAAACAGAATGTGTGATAATCCACCTCCTATACAAGGTGGTGAAACATGTGACGGAGATGGAGAAGAAACCGAAGCATGTTATACAGACTGTTATGGTACCGTTCTTAAACTTTAAATTAATATACAAACTCTTGTCTCGTGATCGGTAAAAGTGTCAGTTACAAAAAGTGTAAAAAGACACGTTTTTTTCTTTCAAACTACTTAAGCTGATAGTTATCTTTAAGCATAATATATATCATATATGGTAACATGTTTCTAAAATCGATTTGCAAGACATCAAATTCTCCAAAGAAAGATTGTTGACAGATTGATTGTTTGCCTGTTTTAGATGCATGCTCATCTAATCCTTGTGGAGACATACACAAATGTATATCTGATGGTACTGGGTATAAATGCCAATGTAAAGACGGATACACAGGTTTAGATTGCTCATTAGCACCTGATAATTGTCAACCAAACCCTTGTGGAAACTCTGGTAATTGTGTAAGCATGTCCGACGGTTTTATCTGTACGTGTGTTAATGGCTTCAGTGGATCTACGTGTGATATCATACTAGGTGTGTAAACACTTTATCTAGTCAGTATGCATTAACATTTCCTTTTTGTATACATTAAAAGCATGTATGTATTTTGCAACGATAATTCTATATCACTAAAAATGAAACACTAATTAAAAGAAGATGTTCTCGAAGCCTTTATTGCTAGCGATAATTAACAGTGACATTTTATGCCTTTATACTTCATGTTTAGATCCATGGGAAATAATATTTAATTATTGTTTAATTTAAATTGAAGACAAAAGTGTTTGGGAACCATGGTCAGGATGGAGCTCGTGCAGTGTGACATGTGGTAAGGGAGTACAAAGTCGCCAAAGGGAATGTAAGCTTGGTACCAATGGAAATGAGTGTTCTGGATATAACACAGAGGAAAGAGTATGTGATGAAGATTCGTGTCCAAGTAAGATTTGATTATATGTGAAATAATTTAAGCAAAATAGTTACATTTTCATATATTTCCTATATGGACAATTTATGCGTTAAATACGAATAAAGAGATACATGTATGAATATCAGGTCAGTCATATGGATACATGTTACATTATTCTATTTCTTAGTCTAGTTCACCAGTGTTTTAACTGTATATATTCGGTTCATTTATGTTTTTTCTTTAGGCATTAAATGTTTGGTCAAAATGATTTTCTAGCACATATTTGTGTTCTTTATTTTTCAACAACACATAATTGTACTTTTTATTTCTCGACAAAAAAAATAATCTCTTATTTGTTTTGCAAACAATTCAATATCTATAATTCATTTCTACTAACAGTATGTCCGGTGTTAAAAAGGACATATGGAATGGTAAAAACGTGTGAAAAAACTGAAGAGGTCATTACTTGTACACTGAGATGTCTTCCTGGATATTTTCCACCAAACAGTACATATAGCTCAGAGAACTGGACAGTTGTTTATCAATGCAGTCCGTTCTCGTTCTATACCTGGAATATGACTGATGTTTCGCCATCATGTACAAGTATGAAAATATGCATATTACATAAACACATAAATCAAACTGTAAATAGCATGATAAAGATTTCAAAACCTTTTGTTATTAAAATGTTTTTTAATATACATTAGTATACTAGAGCCGCTTCTAGTCTACATATTTGAAACAATACGGTATTAAATTTTCTTCAAACGTCTTGATCCACCTGGTGTATGTTGTCTAGAGTTAAATCTATTGTATCATTCCGATATTACCAACCAATTGAAGTTATAGTTTAATCTCATTAATTATTTTCAAACAACCTATAGCATTATTATATTGCCGACAAGCTCGAATATACATATAATTTCTTATTGTATTTACAGGGGAATCCGTTAGGCCACGTCGCATAAATGCTGTCGCTTCAATGCGGATTTCCCCGCACATTTCTTGTGAAAAATCGTCTGCATACGAAGTGGGTGTGCGAAATATCGTGTCTGGTTCTGTTTGTCATCGTGGGATCAGCTGTAAAGCCAATGCAGACGTTACTCAATGTGGCAACAGAAAAAGGCGCCAAACAACCGCAGATAATAGCGAAATCGCATTCACTTTTACGTTTGAGTTCGACAATGGAACTGACTCTGGTAATATTAAATATAGCAGTATATGTAACTAAATCAGTTATGTGTATGCATCTCACATAAAATGATATATTAAGCTCATGTTTGATATTTGAAAATACCGATATTTACTATATATTCCCTTTTTATTTATTTTGAATACACGTAGAGAAGGTATATTACACTTTAAAGATATGCAATGCTATTCTTGAGTAAAATATTTTTATCACAGAAATTTATTGAAATCTCAGAATTTCTTACTGAATATGTCCAATTTGAGAATAAAGAAAAAACTATGTTAAGGAAGCTGCGTTCCCTATTACGGGACAAGAGAAGTTGGTCCTTTAAAAATCTGCCAGTTTTTTTAAGGATACTATAATTTCATATTGTATTTAAAAAAACTGGGGCTTTTGTAAGAAAGGACCTTATTGATTTAATTAGTAAAAGGGGATGCAGCTTGCTTCCATAACATTGTATATCGATTCTCTTATTCAATTAGATCTAATATCCAGTAAAAATTTTATAGAGTTGAATATTTCTGCAATGAAAGTATTTACCCAAATATGAGCATAGTACATGTATATCTTTAAAATATATGTCTGAGATTAAATAAAAGAGGAATAAAACAAATACTAACCAAGATCTTGTTGAATGCAGTATGTAAACATATTTTTATCAAAATTTAACATTTGCTTGTTATAAACAGTTAAAAATTCTACTGACGTTGTCGATATATAAAGATGGAAGTCAAGTCTTCACATCAAAATAATTGCTTCATTGGTTGAACATACAATGAGATCAAAATATACATTTAGTAAAACATCACTGTTTCTTTAAATTAGGTAACAACAATATGACAGACTACTGGGATACAATTGAAGACTCTCTTTCACCATTATCAACAAACTCTGGTGACTGGTTGGGAGTTGTAATAGATGGTGTTACATATGTAGCAGATACAGCAAATATAACCAAAGAAGCGAGTCTTGAATGTAGTAGTGGATACTTTTTACAGGATGAAAATGACATTTGCGGTATTAATTACTTATACCGAACACATTTATTTAGTCTTTGATTTATCACACCATCAATGTTTTTATTTCCGGAAAACCTTCTATATTTACCAAAGTAATGATTAAATATAACAAAAAAGTAGAAGATAGAAAGCGAAATCCTAAATTCGTAATTCCTGCTTTTCTAATATTAGTTTTTCTGTATAATTTGTTCGTACTAAAAGCTAGTGTAACTTATTTCTATTTGAGACCTTCATATCCTATAGCATTTAATTTTTAAAATGATAAATGCCTTTACCCTATAAACATTTTTCAAAGAATAACTATTTCTAAATATGACAATAGAACATAGTATTGAAAAGTATCGTAATTATGAATTTTGAACAGTTGGTTGTTCTCCCGGCACAATGTATGATGCTAGACATGGTTACTGTATCTCGTGCCCATTTGGAACTTACCAGGAACTCGCAGCCCAAAGCTCGTGTGTATCATGTCCAGATGGCTACACGACAAACATCACTGGTAGCTACGATCAGTACGACTGCTATTGTAAGTCAATCAAAATGGAGGAGTATAAAATTTATTGAAAATTGATTACATAGAAATATTAAATAATTTCAAATAACGAATTCATTATAATACTTTAAATTTTTAAATTAAACTCTAATTTATTCGTGTTATTACCATGAACAATGTAACAACTACCAATTGTGTTCATGTATTTGGTTTGGACTTTGTTACAATTACTTTTTATAAATAGGATAAATGTACAGTGCTACAATTAGCCAAGTATCTTATACTAGTTGACATAAGCTGTGTGACATTTACCTTTAGAACTAGTAATGTTGGACATAAGTGAGTAATATTTGCCTGCAAAAATGTATTAATTAATGAGCATAGATTGAGCTACAATGACCATAAGCAAAAGATATGCGCCGTGTTACAATTAAGATATGGGTCGTATATATTGGAAAGTCCTTTGTTACAGTTATCGGCAGAATTTGTATTATTTTACATTAACTGTTTTATAGTAACCAGTATATAACATAATAAGGAGCATGAAATGTCTTGCAATTATATGCAGGAGTTACTGCTTCAAGTGGTACTCGAGACCATATAACAAGACAGTATGTGCATTAGCTTGTCTTCGGATATCTAGATATTTTCACATCCATGTCATCTAGACTTCCATCTTAAAACATGTTCGTCATAGCATTAGATCGGGTTTGATTATGTTTTATAATTTGTGACATTTGGAGCCGTATTTGTATGTTTTATCTTCATTATTATCCAATTCGATTTTTTTATTTCAGATTCAGAAGAAACAGAAAACAATGGTAGGAATATTTTTTGTCAGAACAATAATGAGAGGGCTTGGTTAGGCAATGTCTTTATAAACTACTCACAAACCGTAATAGAATCAAAAACTTATTAATGGAAAAGTTTTAGGTGTTATATAAAAAAATGAATTGATCAGCTGGGCTTTTTACAAAATCTGATATATGTCTTTAAATTCAATACTCAATCTTTAAATTATTTCTTACAAATCTTCAGGTGACAATGACGATATAGATGTTATAATTGGTGCAGCAGTAGGAGGATGTATTTTTGCTATACTTGTAGTTATTATCGGAATCAAAATCAAGATGAAAAGGTAGGCTATTAAATGACGCTTGGCAATATGTGCTGTTTTTGATATGTTTACCGGAACCTGATGAATAAAATAGTAAATCCAGTTGTTTCTGGATCACCCCTCGTATAATGCATATCATGCAAATCGAACGAGAGGTCTACCATGATAATGTATGTGCATATGTTATATGGTAATCATAAAATCGTTGAGATTGACCCTTTGAATGCCTTATACTTAGCGTATGATAATTAATGATAATAAGTTAAAGAACTTTCGGAGAAAAAGAGATCCCTCTAGGGCAATAAAGTAAAAAAGTAAAAAATTGCAAACTTTGTTCCATTGAGGTGTTTCTTGATAAATGACGAACTTTTTTATTATTTCTTACATTCCTGCAGTCTTCCATCTTAAGCACTAAAAAAAGTGTGGCCAATGAGCCCAAACGACGAAAACAATATATGACTATGAAATTTCGGTTTATAAACTGATTAGTAGTGGTTAACTCCAAATAAGATAGATGTATACGGTTAATAAACCCAATGTTTATATCTGAGGCTTTACAAAACTGATTTATTCTTACAGGGTTCAAAAGAAAAACAGAATCAACAATTCAACTGTAACACTGAATGAAAAGAAACTGGAGAGACAGAAAACATCTACCAGCATTCAGAGTACATCACATATACCTATATCTGTAGCGGACATTGAATAGTTTAACAGTTATACCTCAAGCAATACAGGATATTGATATAAAGTTACACATGATATTGATAAGAGTTAACAGTTTATATATTACAGTTAATGACTATGCGTAAGTGTGCAATACCATGTGATTATTTTAAGATATTATAATTATAAATTAATGTGTAGCGGGTATTGATGTTAGGATTTTTTATTATTTCAACAATCGTAAATGTATTTGTTTATAATTTGTATCGTTTTTATGTAGATGAATAATTCTCATAATCTTATATCGTACAATTCATTTATGCCTTAAAAACGAATAAATTTTTGTTTCTTAAAATGGACACTGAAATTTAAGCATTTAAAATAAGGCGTTAGAGGCATTTAGATGTTTGTAACCTGAAGAAAATAGCGTAACGTGTAAAATAGATTGTTATAAAAGTAGCAAAATATAAACAAAGATGTATTTGTACAAACTACTTGATCACTATGATTGTACGATTTGCCACAGAGCTTCTGAAGAAAAACGTTCAGTTAATTAGTCAGAGCTTTTGATAATAGACATTTCTGAAGTATAATCGGCCTATAACAGATCTCAACATTGTTTTGTTTTTAATTTTTGTTTGGTTGGGGGAGGGGAGGGGGCGGATATTACGTTTTGGTTGATTAATTTTCAATAACGTTTTAAATAAATACCTTTCATGGTATCAAGTCAAACAATTGTTTGAATTGATCATAGCATAATCAGTATTTTATTTATGTGGTTTATACTTTTACATCAGTTTTATTATACGGTTTGTATATTATTGTAAAACTTACATTATTTTAACAATATTATGTTAGCTAATATATATCAGTTACAACATTCATTTATATCATTTCGAACAATGTTATAGACAATTTGATGTTACAATTATTTCATCATTCCAGAAGAAGTAAAGGACGTGAAACTTTTGAAAATTAGACTAGTTCAGTAGTACCTTAATATGAACAATACTTCTGCGAGTAAAATAAAATAAACATTTTAAAAGATTTCTGCTTTCTGTTATACAGTCATGTTTTCATCATACGGAATACAAGTTCATATTAAAACAGTCAAACAAAGTGTAATCAAAATATAGTCTAGCCTGTAATATCAAAATTTGCACAGTACATTGTAAATTTTTACAGACGCGTAAGACACAATCGATGTTATATAAAATGTTTTGGCTGCTAGCGATATATTTCTTATTTCTCTAGTACACAATATATAACAGAAGACAATTATATTTTCGTTTTGTTTCACTTTTATTTTATTTTTTATCTTTGTTAACATAATTACATTGAAATGTATTTCTGTGTTTTTGTTTGTTTGTTTTTTTTGTTGTTGTTTTTTTTGTTGTTGTTGTTTTTTTCGATTGTTTTTTGTTTTTCTTGTTTTCGACATTTTATTTGTCATAACGGTCTTTCTACATGCGAGCTTACTTTAATAAAGCATGAGTATTTTCTATGACGTTGAGCGTGTTGAAACATTTTCCACTTCACATGCCGTACAGGAACTGCATGGATTGTTCCTTTGTATGCATCGGAAAATTAGATTCCGAAAACACTTCTATAAAATGGGAAACAAATTTACTACTCATTTGTATCAACACTTTAGAATGGTCGGCCATTCTTTTAAACATATAACAATTCAGCCAATTGAAAAAAAATATTTACGATTCTGATACATCGTTTAGTTTTAAAGTAAAAGCCAGACACTTAGCTGAATTAAAATGGGTTAAACATTTACAAACCCTTTTTCCTCTTGGCCTTTATGGCAATATCTTTCAACAAGGTAATATTTCTAAAGATTCCAGTATTTATGTTTTTTATATTTCTTAACATACGGAAACGGGAATCTCGATTTATGGAATACATAAAAATGTAGATAAAAAATAACTATGTATCCGATTTAAATAACATCTTGATGCGGGTAGACATGCTATGTTATCATGTCTTATCTCTCTTTCTTTTCGGACTCTTAAAATTTTAGACAAAGGAGCTGATAGCTTAGTTATTGAAACCGATCCTTTGCAGCCTATCTTATACAAACTTTTACACAGCATAGATTAAGACCTCGTATCGACACCACCGCTGAACATGACAGGCACTTTCTTAAAGTTACTTTTCTAAACAAAGGTATTGATTTCATCGATATGCCTAGTATTTTTCATAAAAAACGCGGTACCGACTCGATTCCTAAATATTTCAAAAACACTGAGATTCCCATAACTTGCTAAAAATATCAATTGACTGTCAGAAATACCATATTCAATTTCAACAAAGTTGTCTCAGACCTAGACGTAAAGACTAATACACCAACTGGTTGAGACTGCAAAAGTTCAAAATTCTGTAATTTGGATTTTGGCCATATAATCACTGGTAATTTTGATATTACAAACGGCAAGAGAATCCGTAAATAATTTCTTAAAGAACCGAAATATAGAATTTCTTCCGATATATATTTTTAATTAAATTATTTGAGACAGATTTCCCCTTGAAGTGATATATAATTCATGTTTTTCTATCAATAACTCTCACGACAATAACTGCAGTGCACAAATTTTTTGGACAACCCTCGTATTATTCCTGCCAGAGGCTTGCGTAATATAAACCTATTCATCTCGTCCATAAATTAAGGTTTTAACTCTCATCCCGGTCCCGTTTTCCTGTTTTCGCCGTATTTTACCACGTTTCTATTCGATGAACATTATGTGTTCAGTAGTTCTGTTTGTTTGAATGTTGTCTCCGCTGTGTTAACATTCGACCATTTTGACTACAAAATTATCAATAACATCTCTCAATATTGTACTGGTGATAATCTAGCCCTTATCTAATCTCTATAATTATTAATGACTCTCATTTTTTATGATTTGTTGTCACCTTGAAACAAGGTGAAAACGTTTTCTTCCGTTTATACCTGTTATCAAGAAGATGAGGATGTATGCAGGTCCAACAAAATGAATATTGAACTACTGGAAAAAGCGGTCGCTAACAAAATTACCACTTAACTAATCCTCTATATTAGACATACAAAATATAAAAAAAAACTTGCATCAAAATTGTTTCGAAAACCGTTTCAAATTTATCTGCCAGTTTCAAATGTTATAAATAGTTAATATTTCATTTACGGTCACAAATATTTTAAAATTGTCTTTATGCAAACATAAAAAAGATAGATCAAATCATATTAATGGCACATATGTTCATGAATGAAAGGTACTGAAAATAAAACGATAAATCGTTTCATGCAAACTTGTTTGGTTAAGATATGAAGCTTTTTTTTTTCGGATCAGCCATTTGCATAATTTGTAGAAAGGTTGATTAAATATGATCATAAATACGTCAAAAGGAAACTGCTGAGTGCGGATTTAATCAAGTATGATTAAGAATAACCCAAGGAAAGGAATAAAACCTTAAGAATTATGCATGGCATTGTCGTAAAGAAGACTGAGTTCACGCAATTTCAAGCCATCGATTCATTTACATATTTTCGATACCTTACGAACATTTAAATGTACAAGCGGGCCAAAAATAATTTTGGGTTGAAAAGAATCTATGCCAATCAAAAAATAAAGTTCTGCAATAAATCCGATAAAAGCAAATGAAGCAAATATTATATCAATCCTTTACAAATTAAAACTGGATATACTTGAAATATTTCAAGAGAGAACGAACAGATAGAAATGATTTCGTTTCTGTGTCGATTGAAAGTCTTGTTTCAGCCAATGATTTGAAGAAAAAGAAACGTAACATATATGACATGCTTAGCATTTTTAATACATTTAGACAATAATGTTGCATAATATTTGAAAATTTTGTTTTTATTGTTTGACATGATTTTCTTTCTATATGTGCCATCCGTAACAAAAACGAACAATTTAATTGCCATGTTTAGTATATAATTATGTTTGATGAGACACATGTAAATATCTTAGTTAAATAACTTCTTTTCTTCCTCCTTTTCTTCATCTTCGTCTTCTTCTTCTATAGCTTTAATATACATGTGCGTAAAAATTGAACTTTCTGATCTAAAACAAGCAAACATCACATCCTGTAATAGAAATTATTGGAAAAAACATGTATTTAGCGTCTCATTTCTATAGTAAAGTTTTAGTTGTAGTTTTAACGAAATAGTCTCAATACTTATAATAAACGTAAGTTACAGACATCTCAGGTGCATGCCAATATTCATAAACTTGAGTAAGACCTGTATAAGAATCTAGTCTAAAACATTGAATTTTGAAATACGTTCATGCAGACAATCTGTGCTGCAAGTTAAATGCGCCCTATTTTATCATTTTAAGACACGAACATCTATAAAAGATTTGAACTTTGAGAAAATCAATAATAACGTATATTTTTCAATTTAATTAAGTTTAACTGCCTTTTCTTTATATTCTTTGTAGGTATTGGATGAGTACACTTTTTAAATTATGAAATAATATACTTCAAATTTTGTTAACGTATGAGGGACTCCACTGAGGTTTAAAAGCCTAAAAACATAACATTTGACTTTCTTACATAAATGAGCTTGGACACTTTAAACAAACAGATATGCAAATATAGTTAAAAAATATACTTTCAAATAAATTGAAAATCTTATCTTTATGCTTTTCTTAGCCCGATTCGAGTGGAATGCGTTTAAACGCTTTTCATTTTGGGTCATTTTTTTACAATTTGAATAATTATTCTGGAAAAACAAAATGCGCAAATGATCTAAAACTTTGCACAAAGATTAGTGGTCTAAACCTTCATCAAATGGTACATTTATTTGGAAGAAATATTTTCAGTTCCATCATGTCAAAAAACCTCAGTGGAGTCCTTTTAAATATTCGTTTCATTGCATATTATCGGGGGAGAAATTGTCAATTTAGTGCAGTATAGCGATCGATATCTTTTTTTAATTTTCCTTCCTTATTAAACTGAACAGACGATATATAAACGCTTTAATGAAGCTGTGATACCATTACAAAATAAAAAATAAAATAGTTTTCATTTTATTTATTTAGATATGAATAATTTATCACAGACGTACATCAGCTGTTGTTGGTTTTTGTTGCTGTAGTTATTTTTTTTTCTTCAGATATTCGAGTATTAATATTTTGGTCACAAACTGCTTATTATCCGTAAATCAATATAAAACTCATTTTCAATAGATTGGATTATATATTGAATTTTCGTTGGTTGGCATGTATAAAAATCTAACTTCCTCTTCCAAATACCATTTTCATTCCATTAGAAGCTTTTTAACAGTTTTCAACAGTTTGAATAGTCAATAGCAGGCGATAACGTAAATCCCTGGTTTAGGGAAATACCCGAGTTTAGTTGATCTGCATTCATTGGACACTGTTTATATCCCGTTTATTTTAATGCATGATGGGAAAAAAATATTACAGGTTGTATTTGCGGATGGAATGAAAATATCTCAACATCTTCCAACTAATCCCATACTCAGAAAATGCATCGAACACTCAACACATCTTTAATCCTATCATTACTCTATTTTTTCATCGGATTATACAATTATGAAGTTCACGGTGAAAATATCGCTGCAATGGAACAAAGTTACGAGGTTATATAGTTTAAATGAGGTTATATGGTTTAACTCAATAGCAAAGGTTTTAATATGTTCAATATGAGTGTTTGATAGTTTGTGTGGAAGTAAAATAGTACCACTACTGTCCATTAACAGACTCGAACAACCGAGACTGCAGTATTTTCAGTTTTGCTTGTTCAGTTTTTATTCTATTTAGGGTGTTGATGGTGGATTTTATTATTCTTTACAAGTAGTTTTTGTTTCATATTTTCTATATAGCAGAAGGTCAAACATTCTAAAACAAAATGATAAAATGTCATAAGGCGGTTGTAGGAAACATACTCTTTTAAGAATAAAATTAAGAAATAAGAAATCTTCAAATTAACTTTTCTCTGTTGTAAAATAGCAACTTCATGTTATGCGGTCTGTATAAAACCCAATCAGAGATAGTATATCTACGATCCTTGACAATCGTTCATTACACAATTAGTGCTTTTGTGGGATTTTAGTTCAAATAATTAGTACTTGAACACTGCATGCTTTATCACCCTTGGGATATGTTGCCTTCTTTTTGAAACACATATTCTGTAACTGTGCGAATGTACGACAACGATCTTTGGCTAACATGGACGGGCCACATGAGTGCGTCTGCGGGTTTTCTAAAATGTATTTTTTTGCTATGGGGCACGTGGTTAGAAAATTGCGCCAAACACTACAGTTGATAAACAGGCTTTATCAATCGAGCCTGCAAAGTTCTAAATCTCGCTGCTTAAGACTTCTTATCTGACTGAATCTTAAATATCTAGGCCCAAAATGCAAAACGATATTTTCTTGCAAGGGTTATTTACCTTATTTCATTATCTAACATTTATAACTTTTTGTAAATATTGTCTTAGATCACTACCGATGTGGACCAAAAAGGATGTATACCGCCTTCCGATATGGACTGTGACGAAGATATTGTAGATATGTTTGTTCCCGCTGGCACATTGTGTTTCCATGTAAATGAAGCTGGACCAAATCTTATCTGTATTAATGGAGAGTGGGTCGAGGCTATCTCAGGTATTTTTTTCAGTTTTGTCTTAGATATTCTGAGGGACGATACGCACTTAAACTTCTATTATGAATTCAGGTATAATGTTGCATTTACGTGTATGCTTACTATACATAGTGACCACATATTTCATCCATTGCGACCGAATACTGTTACGTCAATTTTTCCTGTGTTGTAGAATTTATCTGATTATCTGATATGTCAAACTTCAGTGGACAGATTATGCAACATTTTTAGATAATAGTTTGAATTTATTTATATCAAATTTCATAGATGACAAAACAAGGTTAAATGATCATGTCATATTATAAAGCGCTTTGTTTATTGTAAGAAATGTTCTTAGGTCGCAACAGTTTAGTACATTTAGTATATTTAAGCGCGGTTTACAAATGCGCGGTAATGCACGACAGCATTGGCATAATTAGTAGTACCTTACCGGATAGAACTTTCACACTTTTGAAAGACAATTTATTCCATGTTAATAATATGATCAAAATTACACATTTTCTAATGAAAAGAACATTTTGTAAGTTGCAGTTATGCACGGAAAGTACCTAACCTGATAAAACATTATTCAAAGACATTCTTATACATATATATATATTTATTATTATTATATAACTGGAAAAGGCATCACTTCATTCTTTTTTTCCCGCTATATATATATATATATAAAATGAAGTGATGCCTTTTCCAGTTCACATTGCAATTGTTTATTAACAAAACTGTTATAAATAATTGAATAGAAATATCAACCGGTTTACCCGTTAAAGGGATCTTCAAGATAATGACGTTAATAACGTCGCTTGGTAACGACGTCAAAACAGTGTAAAGGGACGTTACTCTTATAACGTTTTAAAAGGACATAATAATTAGCTATAATATTATTGTTATATATATATCAAAGTTATTTTGAATTCAATTCTGGTTTAAGAACGTTTATTAAAACAGTTTCTTTCATTCTTCTTTTGAATGTGTCTGGTTCTCGCATTTTATAGATTAGAGGATATTGAATGAGTGTAAGTTCAATACTGAATTTATTGCACTCGTTGAATAAAATTATATTATGCTCGCCTCTGAATTTATTGCACGAGTTGAATAAAATTATATTATGCGAGCCTCTGGCGAGCATAATATTATTTTATTCAAATTCAGTAATAAACTTACACGAATTTAATATTCTATTTATCACATATCCAATATAAAGACCGTTTAAAGTGAAATAAGAGTCATTTTTTATTGACGCATTTATAGTATAACGCTAACATTAAGCGCGTGTTTACACTATGTTTGTATAACGCTAATGACGTCACGTCAAAATATATGCACGGCCGTGCAATACCATTTTTACGGAGTCGCAAAATCGGCACGGGTGTGTGATAATGGCATATATTAAACTTTGGAGTGATGTCTTTTGCGCAAATGGCAATGTGTCGACTGACTGGTAATAATGCATTGTCTGGATTTCGTATATGTTTGTTGTGTAATGTTTTCTTAAATTTGAAGTTTCTCCATTTCAATGCATAAATTACGTTTCTAATGTCGCATGATCCTGAGAATTTTACTTTAAATTCGCAGCCATTCTTGAAATGGTATGTATTTCCTTCTATCATGTGTTTGCACAGGCCGCATTTTAAACTGCTGCATCTTTTTATTTTATTCTTTCTCAGTGTTGAAGAAAATCGTGCCCTGGTCAAAAGTTTTTTCAGTTTAACCGGTTGTCTTTTACTTTTAATTATGTGGCTTCTGTCAATAATTCCTTTCATTATTTCATCATTTTGTAAAATTGGTAGATTTTCTTGTATTACTGTGAAAAATTCGGTATTCCTTGGATTATGTGTTGACACGTATGGTATGACTTTCTCGTCCGTCTTTAGTTTTGTCTTCCGTAGTTCGGATTGTTCTATTGCTAAAGCTCTCTGGATGCCGTTTTCTATAAGTTTCTGAGGATATTTTAAAGAAGCCAGGAATTTGTTTAATTCATTTAATCTGAGATGTAATATGTCTCTATTTGAAACAATTGTACAAAGTCGTCTAGATAGTGAGAATGGGATGTTTTGTTTTGTGTGTTTTGGATGACAAGAGTTGAATAAAATATATTGTTTACTGTCAGTAGGTTTATAGTAGATATCTGTTTCTATTTAGTCACCATTTAATTTAACTAAAACATCCAGAAACGGCAATTTCTCTATACTGTTTTCCATTGTGAATTTCAAATCTTTATAAGGTTATTCAGTAGAATGTTAAAGCAATTCAATTCGTGCTTAGATTTAGGCCATAAAATAAACATATCGTCTAGAAAGCGTTTCCAGTAATTCATGATATAAATTTTAAATTTGGTATTATAAATTTCTGCAATTTTGGGATAAAGCAGTTCCTCCTCCACATAGCCTAATACAAGTGTTGCATACACTGGAGCAAATTTTGTGCCCATGGCAGTGCCTTTTCTTTGTCTGAAAAACTTATCATTAAAAAAGAATGTATTATTCTTTAAGATGAATTCTGTGCCTGAAATGATGAAATTCTTTGTAAATCTAGTATGTATCACGTTCAAATGATTTTCAACCCAAAATTCTATTGATTTAAGGCCTAGTTCATGCGAAATGTTTAAGTATACAGATTCAACATCAAAACTTGTTAAGATGATATCTTTATCCACATTGCCTGAAAGAAAATTAGTTTTTTCATTGGAGAGTGTGCAATTATATTTGATCATTTTCTGTGAAATTGAAAAATTAAAGTTTTATGGATAAATAAATTAAAGTCAACCTAAGAGCATATATATATATATATATCAACATTCCACTCAAACCACCATAAAACCGATTGCCTTCAAACAAAATAGAATCAACTTTTTATAGAAAAAAATAAAGAAATCAGGCTCGATTTAAATATTCACGGCAAAGAATGTCAGAAGTGAAATCAGGCCGTAAAAGGAAGGAGTTATTTACAGGAAAGACCCTACGGAACAGGCAATTTCAAAATTATACTGATGTGGTATAACAATTCGTGAAAAATTGCCTACTTAAATTTTTCCGATAAATTTATAGTGCAAAGAGTGAAATTTATTGTTGAATATGTTTGCATTACATTTCCTGGTTGTTATTTATTACGACAGCGCGACACAAATGACCATTTTTACTTTTATAAATAGATTTCCGGACTTTCACAATGTTAAGGTCATCTAGCTATTTAAAGCTAGCAGTACTGTCAGGCGTGAAATATGTCCCCGTTCTCAATCATTAATATGACATGCAGCAAATCACCTAAGGGGAAACCAATATATGTCTTTACATAATAGAAATAGGAAGGAGTTCTTAATTCCGAAATTATTTTTAGCTGTAAATCGAAGGGTTTAACAGACAAAAATCGGACCCATAGGCCAAAGAAAAAGTAAACACAAATATCTTGGCGCCTGTGGGCGCGGAGCAATAAAAGTATCCAACAAGCAATAATTGTAATACAATGTGTACAAGCAATGCAGTCATCCAACGTTCATAAGACAGCTTTCCAAAAATTCTCCAATGTTTACACTTCTACCAACAATTCACTATCATTTGTAAAATTTCTCGAATAATTTCCATTCTCTTAGATAGATGTAAGATTATTAAAACAAAGTAAATGCGTTTTTTTTTTCAAAAACATTAAGCACATTTCCTAGGGTCAATACACAGTTTTAAAAAATGGTGGACAATTTGCTACTTTGATTAGCTTGAATTAATTACTCAACTTCGTTTCATGAATAAAAACTAATTATTTATAGGCATGGTGTATATTTTTTCATCTTCAAGAATTTATTGTTTAATTTGTTAAAGCAAACGATTATTCATGATCTTTGTATAACGTAGATAATATTATAGAACTGTCGCGATTGATTATAAAGGGATTGACAATACAAACACTCGATTTACCTTCCACGTCTGGATCGTAGTCAAGCAAGGAATTGCTGAATTCTTCTGAGTATATATTACACTAATATGGCGCCCAACTGTCAGACCTAACACACTAGTTCCGGTTGGCCCGGAACTTTCCGTTAACTTCCGTCAACTTCCGTAACCAGAACCATACGGTACTACACTCCTCCCCGTCCTATTCTTTAGGAGGGGTATGTGGCTCCAGGAAGTTAACCAAGCACTGACGCCTCTCTAGTCCAAGGGCAGACCACAGCTTCCCGGTTCATACCGGTACTGGTACTTGACCATGATGCCAGAGGGCTGGACAACGTGGCCTACTTGACTGAACCGTACCAATTTCAGCCAAGCCTCAAACCCAGACACTCAATGGCAGTCAGACACTTTAGGAAAGCTAAGGAGTTGGTACTCCTCAGCTGACAAGCTGGACATGGCTTTCAGATTGTCTTCCTGGTGTATTTCCAGCATGGAAACCAGTGACAGTAGACAGCTCTTCTGCAACAAAACTGTCTCAGCATTACCTTTTACCTTTGGGATGAGATCTTTTGGCAATGGTACCCTAAGAACCTAACAGAACTCCTTCGCTGCTTTCCTTTGAATACTGGTGCAATTTTCCTGAGAAACCGGAACACCAGCACACTCCAGGTAAATTACGAGGTCAAACAATGTGCTATTAAACCCCAATAACCACCTGACCACCAGCTTCAAAGTACCAATCTTTCTGTTCGTATTGCTTACACCTATCAAACACATTCGGAATATGCCTTCAGATTTGGCCTTCAGAGAGAGACTGTTGACCCTTTTCACCGACCTCATTGGCAAGGATCGGTTGGCCATCTGCATCTGATTGGTTTTCATGAAAATCAATCCCGTAGATGACAGAAACCTGCTACCCTGCTGGCCACCTAAACCGGAATCCGAAGACTCCACTGGTTTGGTTATCAACGCTACCACCTCATCTACATCTGTGATGAACTTGACCCATTTGTTATGGGCCATTTTACAATCTTCACATCCACCACAAGGCATGTGATCCAGTCGCGCTACAGCAATTCCACCCCGGCATGTCTCACTTTGCAGTGGTATTTTTGACATTGCGTCAGCATTGGAATGCTCGCGATTCACACGATGTCTCAAGTTCACCACAAGAGGTTTTGTACACCTCTCGTAAGTGTGGTGGCATTTCACCAATCACAAATCCTGACAACTTCACTGATGGCATATGCCCTCCCTATCTCTGTTCCCCTCCTGACAAGGCGGTAGCTATCCGATTGATTGACAAGACACAACACAGGGGTATTAGTGCCTTCATGTAACACTCGAGGAGCCAGAAATTTATTCTGGTTCACTGGCTCTACGATATAGCTGGACAGGGGAGAGTGTAACCTGCATTGAACTCTTGCTACAGAGTGTGGGGGGATAAGCTGTCTCTTGGACACTGTAACCTTAGATACTAATGGACTATCTGATGAATGGACATCTAGGGAGATGCGCATACCACCAAAGTAAAGCTCTGCCTTGCTCATGTCTAGCACAGATTTGCCAGGGTCACGAAGCAAATCGAAACCCAACAGCATTTGTTGCTCAATGGGGGCAACATGCATGTTGACCAGGTACCACTGGTGACCATCCTTTAACTTAACCGGACCGGCTATAAAGGCTGCCATAGTCAATTCCCTGTCAGCCGTTTGCAGCTTTACATCCCTCATCATGGGGGATTTGTGCTTCAGGGGATTGTAGACCTAATCAGAAATGATGGTTACGTCTGGATCGTAATCAAGCTAGCAATTGCCTTATTCTTATAAGTATATATTACACTAATATGGCGCCGAACTGTCAGACCTAACAAACTAGTTTCGGTTGGCCCGGAACCGTTCCTTTAACTTCCGTCAACTCTCGTAACCAGCACCATCGGTACTACAATATCATCACTATCTGTACGTGAACAAAGATACATAACGAACTCCATCTTTGGCATTAATTCAGCGCTAAACAAGTAGTTTAAAGATATTCTAAATATCGTTATTAAATGTGACCTGGGATCGTTATCTTTGAGAATAAACCACGGTTAATATTAAAAAGAATCACAACAATAACCAAAATAATTATTTAAAAAATCTCGAGAATAACCCAAATTATTATTAAAAAAATTAGAGAACAGCCGCACTTATTATTTTAAAAAAAAAAGAAACATGCTCGTACTAGATATTCAAGAATAAAATCATCTACACATGATTTTCTTTTGCGAAGAACACACCTCTCGTAAGTGTGGTGGCATTTATCCAATCTCAAATGATGATGTTTCTTCAAACACTTTGCTGGGCAAAGATGTTTCAACATCACACTCATTCCTGACAACTTCACTGATGGCATATGCCCTCCTTATCTCTGCTCCCCTCTTGACAAGGCGGTAGCTAGGTATCCGATGGATTGACAAGACACAACACAGGGGTGTTAGTGCCTTCATGTAACACTCGAGTCGAGGAGCCAGAAATTTCTTCTGGTTCACTGGCTCTACGATATAGCTGGACAGGGGAGAGTGTAACCTGCATTAAACTCTTGCTACAGTTTATACAGGGATAACCTGTCTCTTGGACACTGTAACCTTAGATACTAATGGACTATCTGATGAATGGACATCTAGGGAGATGCGCATACCATCAAAGTAAAACTCTACCTTGCTCATGTCTAGCACAGATTTGCCAGGGTCACGAAGCAAATCAAAACTCAACAGCATTGGTTGCTCAATGGGGGCAACATGCATGTTGACCTGATACCTATGGTGACCAACCTTCAACTTAACCGGACCGGCTTCAAAGGCTGCCATAGACAATTCCCTGTCAGCCGTTTGCATCTTTACATCCCTCATCATGGGGGGCTTGTACTTCAGGGGATTGTAGACCTCATCAGAAATGATGGTCACGTCTGGATCGTAGTCAAGCTAGGAATTGCCTTTGTCTTCTAAGTATAAATTACACTAATATTGCGCCCAACTGTCAGACCTAACACACTAGTTCCGGTTGGCCCGGAACCTTTCCTTTAACTCCCGTAACCAGTACCATCGGTACTACAATATCATCACTATCTGTAAATGGATAAAGATACATAACGAACTCCATCTTTGGTATTAATTCAGCGCTAAACAAGTAGTTTTAAGATATTCTAAATATCGTTATTAAATGTGACGTGGGATCGTTATCTTTAAGAATAAACCACGGATAATATTAAAATGAATCACAAGAATAACCGAAATAATTATTTAAAAAAAACTCGATAATAACCTAAATTATTATTGAAAAAAAAATAGAGAACAACGCACTTATTATTTTTAAAAAAGAAACATGCTCATACTCGATATTCAAGAATCAACTACACATGATTTTCTTTCGCGAAGAATAAATAGTACAGATTGTTTAAATTTCTAGTGACAAAAGCAAAAAGGGAGAAACGGTATCACCAGATATGTACTACACACAGACGCAGAAGGCGTATAGTATGGAGAAGACGTCGAAGTAGATATGCAGTTGAGAAATGTGATCGTATGTATGAATTGTTATTTTTTAATTTTATTTATCTTAAATTCCTCCAGTGGATGAGGAATACTGTAGGAAATTTTAACAACTTGAGTTCACAACTGGCTTGTAGTAAGACAATTCCTTCAAATGTTAAATCTACTGTCCTTAATTTTAATCTGAAATTATCTTTTTTCAATGTATTTACAATGAAATTAAAGGGACTCCACTGAGGTTTTTTGACATGATGGGCCTGAACAAATTTTTTCAGATAAATGTACCATTTGATGTAGGTTTAGGCCACTAATCTTTGTGCAAACTTTCAGATCATTCGCGCATTTCGATTTTCGAGAATAATTATATAAATTGTAAAAAAAAATGTTAAAAATGATAAGCGTTTAAACGCTTTTCACTCAAATCGGGGTAAGAAAAGCATAAAAGTATTATTTTCCATTTATTTCAAAGTATATTTCTTAACTATCTTTGCATGTATTTCTGTATAAAGTGCCCCAGCTCTATTATGTAAGAAATTCAAATGTTATGTTTTTAGGTTTTTAAACCTCAGTGGAGTCCCTTTAAGCACATTTTCCATAAGTATTACAAATATTGATGCAAACAATCGAAATTTATTATTGGGTTAATTTTATTAAATATTTTTCGAAATAAATAATTATAGATTAGGCTTTAGGTAGGATTAATATAATAATAATAATAATAATAATAATAATAATAATAATAATAATAATAATAATAATAATAATAATAAAATGATGATGATGATTTGTTCTAAAAGAATTTATTATTCCAATATGCGGATATCACACTTCCCGGCAAAATGCACATATACATTTATTATATCAAAAAAGTTTGTTGTCTCACCTGATACTTACTAAGATTTTCGACATTATTATTAAGGGTATACAATACCGTTTGTTTTGGGCCAAATCACTTTAATGATGACATGTTTTTATATAATGTAAAATTTCTTTAATATGCCAGGTCCAAATCACGAGCCTTATTTTCGGAACTGTCCATCATCTTTGACATTTGTCACTGGAAAAAAGGAAACATCAATGCGGGTGTACTGGACCGAACCAACTGCCTATGACTACGAAGATGGCAGCTTAAGGTTTAATTTTTTTTTCCAATAAATTAATTTAGTCAAAAAATTTAAAGCCCTTAAAAGTTATTTTTTTTTAAATATAACAATTTTTTTATATTTGGAAAAATTAAAATATTAATATCAATATTATTAAAGGGTTTAAAAAGTTAAAAATTTTTTACGAAAAAGGTTTTTTAAAAGGGCCCAAAAAATCTTATCCCTACGATTATTTTGGTTTTTTTTAGCGTTCCAAACCGACAAACTTGAACTTGATAAAAGGTGTTTTAAAAGGGGGCGAAAGGTTTTAAACCCAATTTGGGGTTTAAAAAAAAAAAAAAAATTAAAAATTCACTTTTTACTTTAAAATTTTCACTTAAAAATTTTTGATAAAGGTTTTAAAAATAAATGTAAAAATGATAAATTAAAAATTTATTCTATTGTAATTTTAAACATTTTTTTTAAATTTTTGAAAAAGGTATGGGCCCAAAGAACAGTCTCCCGGAAAGGGTTTAAAAGGCCCGGGTGTATTTACAGTTTTGGGCAGGGTAGGGGATACCCCGGGGGTTTTGACAGGGTAAAGTTGGGGATAAAAACTTAAAATTTAAAGGTTCCCGCAGTAAATTTTTTTTATTTTATTTTATTTTTCAAAAATTTTTTTAATTTGTTAAATTTCTAAAATAAAAAATCACAATTTTTGTAAATTTTTTCAATCTCTAAAAGTAACATTTGTCTGCTATTTATCTTATTCAGTAATATTCTGTCGTACTCCGAGGGCTCCTAAATTTGGAACAGTTTATTGTTCGGGAACAAATTATGGTCATATCTGTAACTTTTTCTGTCCTACCGGATACACCCCAACAGTTGCAAGTATGACATGTCAACTGAATGGTTATTGGACACATGGAGGGTCATCTGAATGCAAAGGTATCAGTATTAATTTAGAAATAGCTTTAATATATTTTGTACTTGTTTGATAATTATCAAGAATAACCTTCTGTTTGTTGCATGAATAAAGCAATAAAAAGAAAAAAAATGAAATCAGACTGTAGCCAGCAATTAAGAAATTTAAAATATCCTATCAATTCTAAGTAAACCTTAAGTGTATTTTTTAAATAAATATTAAGGAGAAATTTCCATATTTCAAGGACCATGTAATTAGTCGCTATTGTCAATGACATGTTACACCTTCATATTTCATATTAGGAAACCTTGAGTCATATTTTAGTTTCTAGTTTGTATGCGTGAGTGTGTGTTAGTGTGTGTGCGTGCGTGTGCATGTGAACTATACATGTTTGTTATCATACTAGTATTACAGATTTAAATTAAAGCTACACCTTTCTATGGATTTGTAAAATAAAATAAAAGAAATTTCAACAAGGAACTGGTACGTTCATTAAATGCAGTCTCTTATAATATCTAGTCAAGCAAAATCATTACAGAAGTACCGAGAGGCTTCCGTCAAAAGGACCGGAAAGGACATAAAAGTGCAAAAAAAGAATTGATTCTTGTATGATAAAGCTGTTTGTATATTACAGTTAACACTTGTCCCCAGACGTTCCCTACAATAGAACATGGATATTATTCCTGCAGTAAATTCACTATAGGAACGTCATGTAATCCAACGTGTGATCCGGGATATTCAGTTATTAGATTTGTTCCTATAGTCTGTAAACTTGACGGGCAATGGTCTCTCCCGGTGGATACAATATGTAAAGGTATATTGTTGTTTGTTTGGGTTTTTACGTCACTACGCCATAGTATAGGTCATATGGCGAGGTAACAGCTTTACTGGTGGGGGAAGACCTCGGGTGCCTTTCTGTGCATTATGTCAGGCACCTGAGTAGAGCCACAGACGTCCCGTAAGCTAGCTTGATAGCTTTCTCACATGAAAGAATCCATAGTCCCTGTCGGTATTCGAACCCACAGCAGAGAGAGGCAAGTGGTTTGAAGTCAACGACCATAACCACTTTTGGCCAAGGGCGCCAAAATGTAATGGTAATTACTAGTTCATATGTTACAATATTGTTGAAACTTAAATTGTTCTAGAGGTATGTTTAATTGCTTAAAAGAGCTAGGCAAGAAATACTCTTTTATAGACGACTGCCAATAGTCTTACACTTTTGAGGATTCAAAAAAATATATCAAGGTGGTGAATACACATGTTGCGGAGCGGTCGATCAAGGTGGAATTCCACAGGAATTAATTTAATCATCACTTTAATGAATTGAGCACAAATAGAAGAGTAAAAACGATCTTTTAAAATAATTACTTATTTTAAGTAAATAGAATGGCAATCAACATTTTAGTCATCAGTTCTAGGATAACACGTTTTATTATCAACTTGTATCATTTTCAGTCAAATTTGTGATCTTTTACATGATAGATTTCATTCGTCAGATACAAACACGATGTAAATTCACAATGAAACATCTATTTTTAAGAATGGTACACGGAACTGTTTTAGAAAAAAAAACGTTTCTGTTATGACCAGTAATGGTATTGAAACAATGGTGACCATAATGATATAAACATGCAATAATCCTTATATATAAATACATAATGCGAACATTTTAAAATTTTCAAATAGCATTCCAACGTACTTTAATCCGATTAAGCAAGTTTGCCCTGGACAAAAAAAAAGGATTTAACTGTCTACAATACGAACTGTTTCGTAGTTAATTTGCTATATCCATTATTTATGTTTATCTAAAATTATCATTGAAAAAATATTACATTATCTTTTAAGAAGGTACATTAATTTATCAAACATAAATTAGATTAAACTTTCAGTCACGCATAATTCATATAAAATCATTTTATTTATTCAGATTCCGAGCCACCTATAATATTGAATTGTCCATCAAATATAACGATAACTGCTGAAAAAGGAAAAACTTCTGCAATCGTTACGTGGGACGTACCATCTGCTATTGACAATCAGGATAATTCAAGACTTACAGTGAACCAAACTGCTGGTTCTATTACACCTGGTTCTCGGATTGAAGGCGGAGTTGTTCATATTCTGAAATACGTAGCTTTCGATAGTGCTCTTAACCCTTCAGAAGAATGTTTATTTTACGTGCAAGTGAAAGGTAAGAATTAATAATACTTGTCAAGAGATAATTGAAATCATAATTAACTCATTGAAAATTAAAAACTAGTCACGTCCAAGTCAGAGAAAGAAGAGATTAAATATTCATTTTAACAATAATTTGTGATGAATAAGATGTTACGCTAGCTATCAACAAATCTTTGCATTTTGTCGGTTTTTATTTGTTTGGATCGTCAGACCAAACAAATAATGGTAGCGAAATTTCAGACTAATGCTGTTAATTTCAAATGCCGAAAGTAGTCCGCTTTTTTGAAGCGGTTACTTCCCTTTATATGTAACACTAAGGCCTAAAAATTCAGGGGAGATCACTGCGTAAATATGGTCACATGACAGGCGCATTAATTTTCAAGCAAAATAATAGATATACATGCTTATAGTAAGCGCAATGATTATTTACACAAGTGATAACAACAGTTAGTGTCGTTTCAAACCCTAATTTTAAATAATATGGTTTTCTTCAGGCCGTTAACATATCAATTCACCCTGGCCGAGGGGTTTGCGCGCTCGCTTAGGAAGCGAAAAGTCTGGAGTTCAAATCCCAGTTGAGGCAACTCATTTTTTTTCAAATTGTTTATATCAAATAAACATTGGATTGAATATCAGTGTTGCAATTAGTCTTATAGCCAATCTACTACAATTAAAACGCTGGAAAGCATTTGTGGCACTATACAAAAACAAATTGTTTTATAATCTCACAACCTTCATCTTCCTGACATTCTGGGACCCTAATAAATTCAGCGCTTTCGGTGCTTTGATTTTGTTTGTTTTTGTTATTATTTTTTGTCATTTGACATGAATATATGTCTTTAATTTTAGTTACCAAGTGTTCCCGCATTTCTGCACCAAGAAATGGTCGTTACAAGTGTGACAAAGGTTTCATATATGGTAGTCAGTGTAATTACACATGTTATCAAGGATATCTGTTACAAGGAGCGTCTTCGTCGACATGTGATCAGAACGGCGATTGGAATTCATCTACACCAATCTGTAAAGGTAAATTTGTTTCAAAGTAAACATTCATGCTGTCCGTTTTGCATACCAATTTTTCTATAAAATTGAAACCATTTTCCTGGAAAACCAAGAACTACGTATATGTAAATGATAACCACAGCTGTATGCAGAAAGCCTCCAAAAGCGGCAAGGGTAATCTTCTAACAAATATCTCAAAATACCTCTTCAAAATATCAAATGACACCTCAAAATATTCGTTTTTCCTCCCACGGGATATACTTTCTTTCATTATGCTTGTCAAGTTCTCGTTTCATTTATGAGATTTTTATTGATATTCTGAGCGGTACTTGCGATTATAAGTTAAGAATTGCTGCACTGCTAAGACTTGCTGCAGTATTGGACTTGTTGCAGTATTGGACCTGCAGCACTGTTGGACCTGCTGCACTATTGGACTAGCTACGCTTCTTATACTTGCTGCGCTCCGTGGACATGCTGCATTATTGGACTTGCTACATTATTGTACTTGCTACACTATTGGATTAGCTACGCTTTTAAGACTTGCTGCGATCCTTGGACTTCCTGCACTTTTTGACTTACTGCACTATTGGACTTGCTGCACTGTTGGACTAGCTACGCTTCTTAGACTTCTTTTATGGTCACATCCGTGTTATTTGTGCCGTGTGGCGGCCGTAAAAGTCTCCCCGTACATTTAATCAATGATGTTATATTTTTGATCCTTGAAGATCGTTCAGCACGACATTATTGTTGTGCTAGTGTTATTTTTAGTTTAAACTTTTCGGCATTTTCTAGTTGGTTGGTTCCAATATTCCTACTTGAATAATGTTGAATCACCCTTACGATATGTTGCCTGCTTTTTAAATTTGTCTTTTGACGTCTTATCTGTGATATGCAGGCTTCATAACCTCTGATCCCCTTTTAAAATTCCTTTTTAATTAGTTCGGCCCATTGTTTTCTCGTTTAGGGCACACGCTTTTTATTACTTGGGGACCATACGCCGCTTTTCATGGAATTTCACGGACGTGTCACATTGAAGATTCCATGATAACCGCCGTATGAATACACATGCGGATGTTTCTAAATTCAAATATTTACTATTTCATGTTTAAATGTTGATTTCTGCTTAAGCCAGTGCTAGGGGGCGTGGACGGTAACTTGTACTTTCCAGTACCGTCCATGAACAGGCTCAATCAACCCGAGCCTGCAACACTTTCAATTTTGTCGTGTTGGGCTTTCTGTAGGGATTCTGTATTTATCTATTTTATGGTCACATCCGTGTTATTTGTGCCGTGTGGCGGCTGTAACAAGTCTCCCCGTACAGTTAATCAATGATGTTATATTTTCGATCCTTGAAGATCGTTCAGCACGATATTATTGATGTGCTAGTGTTATTTTTAGTTTAAATTTTTCGGCATTTTCTAGTTGGGTGGTTCCAATATTCCTACTTGAATAATGTTGAATCACCCTTAGGACATGTTGCCTGCTTTTTGAATTTGTCTTTTGACATCTAATCTGTAATATGCAGGCTTCATAACCTCTGATCCCCTTTCAAAATTCCATTTTAATTAGTTCGGCCCATTGTTTTCTCGTTTAGGGCACACGCTTTTTATTACTTGGGGACCATACGCCGCTTTTCATGGAATGGCACGGAAGTGTCACATTGAAGGTTCCATGTTAACCGCCGTATGAATACATATGCGGATGTTTCTAAATTCAAAACTTTACTATTTCATATTTAAATGTTGAATTCTGCTTAATCCGGTTCTAGGGGGCGTGGACGATAACTTGCACTTTCCAGTACCGCCCATGAACAGGCTCAATCAAACCGAGCCTGCAACAGTTTTAATTTTGTTGTGTTGGGCTTTCTTTAGGGATTCTGTATTTATCTATTGTTTGTTGCGCTCCTCGGGATTGCTGCAATATTAGATATGCTACACTAATTGGACTTGCTGCAGTATTTGGTTCCTTCAGTGGACCTGCTCACCAACAAAGAGACTTGCTGAAAATAAGCTTTCTGACAAATTTTGAAGCTTCTTTCGAAACCACTTTGATTTTTCTTCTTTTTTTAATTTCCAATTTCATTTCCTATAAATTCACAACGCGCGAGCTGGATAGAATGCCACAATTGTGACATCACGTCAAAACAAAAATGATACAAAATGGTTGACATTTGTGTTTCTTTTTATAAATAAAATGGCTTTTTTGAAAACAGCACTCTTCTAAAGGAAATATTAAATATTTCTATCAAATGTCAAAATAACATTTTTTAATTCATCTGTTTCTGGATACTGTCTGCTTAGGTAGTCTGCAAATGTGTTCTCAGATCCTTTGATGGCTTCAATTCGGAACTGGTATGATTAACGGAATAAGGCCCATCTAACCAATCGACCGTTGTCTGGTGTACTTTTCTGGATGTACACAGTCCACATGTCCCTTAGAAGTTGCATGGACCTTTTAACTGTTCTTCCATACAGCAGCTCAAACAAGGAAAATCCTGTACTCGCCTGTGGTACTTCTTTATATGCGAATAATACAGCTTGTAGGTACGATCTATCCCAGTCCTTCCGTATTTCCTGGCACATCTTCCACAGCATACTTTTTAGCACTCCATTCATCCGCTCGCACAAGCAGTTACACTTTGGGTTGTAAGGTGTTGTGAAATGTTGCTTCACAGATATGAGTCGGCATATCTCTTTCATTAGGTTTGCTGTAAATGGACCACCTCTGTCACTTAGAACTTCTGATTGAAAGCCAACTATCGAATTTATTTCAAGCAGTGCTCCAGCAATACTCTCAGTGTCTATTCTTCCCAATGGCAAGGCTTCATGGTAACGTGTTGCGAAGTCTAAAACCGTCAAGATATATCTGTTGCCCTTCTCCGACACTAGTATAATCGGTCCTATCAATTCTATTTTTCCTCGATGAAAAGGTTCCTCAATCACCGACATGGGTCCTAGGGGCACCTTCTTCACTCACCCTTTTGGGATGGTCTCCTGACACACATCACACTATCTGACGAAACGTCTAACATCTCCTGTTTTTCCCCGGGAAATGAAAAATTGCCCGAATTCTGTTCTAGAGGGACAAATTTACCACAATGGATTTTTTGGGGCAATTTCCTTTTCACTCTCTTCCGGAATTTGGTGGGGCGCTTTTGGTCACCCATTAGCGAAAGGGGAGGCCAAAGAGGCCCCCAAGTAATTGAACTTTGCCCCACCTTTGGTTCAACTTTTACCCCCTTCCGCTTTAAAAAACAAACCTTTTTCAATAAGGGCCATTTGGGTTTCTGGGGACTTTTCAATTTTTCAGCCTTCAACGGCAGGACGTTTTGGGAAAATCGAATTGGTGGGCGGCTTTTATGCCCGTTCCGAACTGCTAAACAGTTGATTGTTTTTGGCTCCCAAAAGGATCAGGCCTATCAATATTCCGGCAACGTTACCAATTACTTAATTGCATATCAATGACTTAAGCACCATTGCCTCTAGCTCGGGGTATCTACCCATATTTTCGCCAAAGGTACGACTTAAGCAACTCAATCAATTGTAATCATAACAATTTCTTTACCCGTGAGTTGTTCTTCTTTAACAAACTCCTTCTTTTCAGTCGTAAACTCACATCCAGTATCTCTCAATACTTTCACTGCGTTTGTACCGACAACAACCTCTACTTTAATTCAAGGTTTCTTTCTTCTTCCACCAAATCAATGGTACAAGCTCCCGCGAGGATTGGCACAGTCTCTCCGCAAACTAACTTCAATTTTCCAACTTCAGTGTTCTTCTCTAGTGGATACAGGTCTGCTTTGGTACATACGGCTGATACCTTGCGGCCACTTCTTATACCTTCTGATTTTGTCTGCCTACACCCTTTTACAATATGCCCCGTCTTATTGCAAATAAATCACATCTTCGGTGCTTGGCTTCTGTTGTTCTGTCGGCAGCCTATGGCTTAATGACCTGCCTTATTACAAAGAAAGCATGTCTTCACTGGCGAATTTCTGTTATCTGTCACTCTGCTTGATGTCTCTGGTATGGATCTCTTGCCCAGGTGCCCTTTTTTAGAAGTGGAGTACCTGTGGCAAAAACAGAAGACGCCCCTTTATGCGGTTATATGTACTGCTCTGTAAAGCGTGTTAACTCTTCTATTCAGGACGGCACTCTTTCTTTCAGGAAGTCTGACAAATCTGTAGAACACCCTTCGATGAACTGTTCCTTGATTAAGAGCTCGCTTATTCCATGAAAGGTCTGCTCTACTCCAGCCATATATGTCCACCTTGTAAAATATCGTCTTAACCTCTCAATAAACTGAAAAACAGACACACCAGAAAGTGGTGTGCTCTGTCTGAACTTCACCCTGTGAACCCTCTTCAGTCAACTTGTATCGTTTTAAGAAAGCCCTCTTAAAAGTGTCATTTTCATTGGCTTTTTCAATAGGCAAACTTGTGAACTCGTCAAATTCGGAAATACTTGACTGTTGATTCAACCAGAACCTTGATAAAAACGTTAGTGACATTAAAATTATATAGCTATATGGATCTCCAAAGTACGTAGGACACCGCGAAACTGCCACATAACCCCAGTTTTAAAGGAACTACATTGGCTTACTTGCACATCAGAGTCGAGTACAAACTCCTAACATATGTGTTTAAGGCGCTTCATGGACAGGCACCTACGTACACACGAAACATGCTAGACATTTATATCCCATCCAGACAACTTAGGTCCCATAAATATTGCTTAGTACTTGTTGTACCGCGTAGTAGGACTGTGATAAAACTTAAGTCTTACCTGTAGTTTATTATTTTTGTGGGTCTATTTAACTTTTTTAACTACATTTGATTTGAATTTGTGACTTGAGCAATATTGATGTTTTAATTTGTTTTTTTAATATTGTATCATTTATTTGGTAATACTGCACAGTACTTTTTAACGTGTCAATGTGCATGAAAAAAGTGCTTAAGAAGTTTGGTATATAATAATAATAATAATAATAATACACTTGTAGATACATCCAGAACTTGTCCTGATAGTAATGAGCTTAATGTAATGGCCCAAGTGTCTCTCTCCCAGTCTTGGCTAATGGTAAATCTCTCAAATCACTCCAGAACTGAATCAATATTATCATTAGCTTCGTCGAACTTAGGTATTCTTGCTCTGAGTGACATGCTTCCCTCTTTGGTGGTTACTTTGCTGGATTTGATCTGCTCTATCTCAAGATCGTTTTTTCTTCATCTGGAACTCAAAACTTATTTCCATCTGTCTTCTTTCTTCTTCACGCCTTCGGGCTCTTTTCTCTCTGGTTAGGCACTCTTCTTCCTTCTCTTGAAGAAATATTATTTAATCGCTGCCGGATAACCAAGTTTCTCTCCTATTCTTAACCATATGTCGTAAAACATATTGCTCAGTTTATCAAAATCTCTTAAAAATGATCCCGGACGAGCCCCAAATTGTCAAGTTTTGGTTTCATTTATGAGATTTTATTGATATTCCGAGTGGTATTTGCGATTAAAAGCTAAGAATGGCTGCACTGCTAAGACTTGCTGCAGTATTGGACTTGTTGCATGAAGACCTGCTGCACTTTTGGATTAGCTACGCTTCTCATACTTGCTGCAGTATTGGAATTACTGCAAATTGGACTAGCTACGCTTCTAAGACTTGTTGCGATCCTTAGACTTGCTAAACTATTGGGTTTGCTGCACTATTGGACTTGCTGCACTGTTTGACTAGCTACGCTTCTTAGACTTGATGCGCTCCTTTAAATTGCTTCAATATTAGGCTTGCTGCACAAATTGGACTTGCTGCAGTATTTGGTTCCTTCATTGGACCTGCTCACCAACAAGGAGACTTGCTAAAAAATAAGCTTTCTGACAATATTTGAAGCTTCTTTCGAAACCAATTTGTTTGGCGTTTTTATTTCCAATTTCATTTCATATAAATACACAACGCTCGAACCGGATAGAACGCCACAATTGTGACGTCACGTCAAAACAAAAATGATACAAAATGGCGGACATTTGTGTTTCTTTTTATAAATAAATGGCTATTTTGACAATACTACGAAATACTTTCATCTGGGTAACTCTAGCACGACGTAAGTTATTGTAATTTTGTCATCCGGAATGGCCAGAATCTGGAATCGTATCAAACATAGAGGGAAACAATTAAATTGCTTTGGTTTTGACATTCTTAGAAATTTGTGGCATTAAAATTATAAGCAATATCAGTATGTTATACGTATACAATGACCAATCAATCAATATAAACTTTACGACTCCGGAGTAAGTGATCCGGGGATTTTCCATACTACAATTGTATCACGTGACTGTGTGTTAATTAATAATATCTCCTTTTCATATTGGCTACTGCTTTAGAAACGCATTTTGTTTACATTTTTCTTAAATAAAGTAAAGTTAATTATAATTGATGCTCTTGATTTTCATAAATGTATGTATCATCTAAGTCTATAAGTGTTGTTTTATTTGTTATGAATTTTCGCTCGAACGAAATATTGATCTCACCGGGAGTCCTGTGGCTTGGTTGTGTTGGATGCTGCGTTTTGTAACGGTTGCCTTTCAGTGTTGTTATTTCTACTCACTGATTACAGCACTTTTAAGTGTTAAAAATTGTGCACCGCTCATGCCGGTGTTAGGGGATGTCGCAGTTTTCATTGCATTCCCTTTTTGATATTGTGTATCATATTTAATATCCGACATCTACAGACTTGATCAAAATGAGTCTGCAATTTTCATGTAATTTGTTGTGACGAATGCTTCCGAGGCCAGACCTTCTTTGTAAGGTTTTACTTAAAACTGATTCTATTATTTATGTACGACTTTGAATTGATGTAAACATGCACATCTTACTACTAGCATTGCCAAATAAGTCGGTGTTTAATATCGAATTATATTCATTCCTTATCTAATCTTATTCAATTTTGAATTTGATAAATTGATCATCAGATTGCATGCTTTCATTACATTTGGAAATGTATTTGGATAGTAACAAACTTTAAAATGAATAATTAAATGACATTTCATTTTCTGTTTTAACAATATATTAATGTTTTAGTATCACAAAAAGGATGTCCTTGCACTAGACATCGCTAAATAATGTTGGCTTTGTATCATAATAGGTAAAGATATTATATTATTTAATATATAATCTGAGGTACATGATACATATAATAAGTAGTATCGCATGATTGAGGATATCAAATATACAAAATCGCTTTTCATCACTAATTTTATATGAGTATTATTATTTTAATTTCATTACTCGGAAACAAAATACAAATGTATTGATACGGGCAATCGTCGAAATGTTAAATTGTAACTAGTAAGCTTTACAAATATAGAAGTCATATAATTCAGAAAATGTAGAGCCTTGATTTAACAATAAAATTTAAACTTTAATTGTAAATCTTATTAAATACCTGTGTTTGGATACATCTAATGCCTACAAAAGGTGTTCTATGATTTGATTCAGAGGTTGAATGTTCACCACCAGAAGAGCATGGAATGAGTATATCTAATGGTTACTTTAGTTGCCAGTCGCCAATAAAGTACCAGTCAGTGTGTTATGCAATTTGTGACGGTGGATTCAAACTCGCTCTATACACATCAGCAATATGCAAAGTTGACTCGAATAATACTCCTTTCCTAAGTTTGAGTTTACAACCAGTTTGCTTAGGTAAGATTGTTAATTAAGTAATAGTATAATTATCATCTAGTGTCGACTCACGACAACAATGCAAGATTTTCTAGTTTCGTGAATGTCAAAAGAAAACTTATTTTCATAAATTTTTATCAGTATTGGCAAACAAAGTTATTTATTAAGTGTTTTTCACAATGTAAAGGGCATGTCTATATGAACATTGTGGCACTTTTTATGGTTCATCTTTGTGTTCAGAAAACAATTTATTTGTTTCAGATATCGAGCCACCAACGTTTGATAATTGTCAAGGAACAAAAGTTCTTACATTTCCTGCAGCAAAAGGAAAGACAACTGCAGAAATACAGTATGATATCCCAACAGCCTCTGATAATGTAGATCCTTCCCCTGAAGTAACAAAGATACTAGGACCAGATAGCGGAGACACACTGGACGCAAATGATATAGATTTTGTTGAGTTTCAAGCAATTGATAATGTTGGGAACGTCTCACCGCTGTGTTTATATGTGCTTCAAGTGGATGGTAAATCATAGATAAGATTGTCACAACTCATCATATGGGACATGTATTTTGCTTAAACTGACCATTCACATTTGTTATTTATTTAAATGGCATCGGCGTTTAAGCCCATATTGTTTGTCAACTTTTCTTAAATTTTCAAACGTTTGTTATATTTTCACTAATTTGTTTCACTCTGACAAAACAACTTACACTTACTCAAAAACTGATAAATTATAATGATAATTCAAGTTTGACCTTAACCTTGAAAGTGACTTTTTTAACCCTTGTGGTCAAGTTGATTTTCATATTTTTCTTTTTCAATGAACATATTTTATTTATAATTGAAAGAAAAACAATAGAAATGACTACACCAACACATTGAATGATTCAAGTATGATATTGGTCTGTGAATGACATTGAATGTCAAGATAAGCTATGAAATCTTATTTAATTTTATTTTATGACTCAAGGTCACTTTTTGAGAATCAGTAAACATCTGTGTTGTTCTTTTTGTATATCTCCGACTTATTTTCAGTTTGACACGTATTTTTTTCAGTTCTATTGCTAAAAAGGTAACTGTTTATTTGAAAAATGTTCATACAAGTACTAGCGACATATGAAAAACATACAAAGCCATGTCCTGGTCAGCACAATCACATAATCTTCGGACTGTAACCACCAGCTTAATTATTCCATGACTATCATTTAATGAAAACATTTTTTATGTTTTTCTTTCACAGTTACTGAATGCCCTGCCTACATACCACCAGAGAATGGAGACGTTTCGTGTACATCAGACTTTATATATGGAAGTATTTGTACATTGACCTGCAATGAAGGTTATAAATGGCAGGGTTCTGCAATAGTGCAATGTTTAGAAAGTAAATCATGGAATGCCACAGACTTCGTATGTACAAGTAAGAGTCTGTAATTGTTGTTGGTGTTGATGATGTTTTGTTGTTAGAAAGGATAACATTGATATTACAGCTCATCGGGCACAATTGCAGTTGGCATATTGAGAAAGCCCGTTTTCATTTTCTTCGAACTTCGGTTATAATTTCCTTCAAACGACATCCTATCTGATAACATTGGCCGAATGTTGTACAAACTTGCCACGAATGCATCTTGTATCAAAGTTGCTCAAATAATTTCATTCCTTGTAAACTTCATGGACAATTCCAAGGACCCCAGCTTCATCAAAATTGTTTTCAGCTTAAATGTTTGTTATGGCAGGCTTCTCTTTTCCTAAATTCTACAAACCGTACCCCTTTTGGTACAAAATTGAACATTTTCAAGGTTTGTCAGAACTTTCACTTAACGGAAAAAACAAAGGGAAGAAACTCTCTTAAGAAGATAGAGCATGCAAGTGGGTCATCTAAGGCCTAAACTATTAAACATTTGAGATATGTAAAATAATATTTTCTTTTCTGTGTGTTTTTTTAACTCATGAATGTTAAGAATAAGTTTAGTTTATTCTCTGTATTCCCATATTTGATAAACCTTTAAACACCACGAAATGTATTGCATTCAAAATTACATTTTTTTCCATGCAATAGAATCTTAGATAATGTTAATAATAGAATAATGATTTACATGTATATGATAAATTAAATTGTCATTCTAAGAATGGAGTTTTATAAATTTAAGACCATTTTTTGAACTAAGAATTTTCTATATTAGCCGTAGTCTTGTCAAGGACTGAAAAATTTCACCAACAGCTCTTGTTAAAAGATTAAGGATGAAAGATGAAGGAAATGTCAATAGGATACACTGTTAGAGGTTTTTAAAGAGAAAATTAAAGAAAAAAAAAACAAAGACGTTTTCAACGAAATTTTCTGTTTTTTTTTTCTGTTTAATTCTAAACAACACGGCATAAACTGATTTTTTTGTGCAGTCGGTAATCTGTTTTAATTTACTTTTTATTGTAGGGGTACTATGCCCATCGCTACCAGACCCTCCAGACAACGGGTATTACTCGTGTGCAGGAAACACTTTTCCATATGGTACAATTTGTCAAGCAAACTGTATTGATGGTTTTGAACTATCACAAATGTCGTTTGCACGATGCAAATCTGATGGGTCTTGGGAAATATCTACAACTCCTAACTGCAAAGGTATAAAACGTATAGAAGTTGAAAGTTTTATCGCATCCTACATTTGCAAATCATAGATGTTTTATGATAACGTAACTATATTGTCTATCAATATTTTATTTCGTGTAATGTCTATATTGTCAGAATATATTTCGGTTAAATCTATATACATGTATTTATTGATATATAAACCGATGTATATTTTTTCGCAGATGTAGAACCACCAGAGATTATAGACTGTCCATCTGAGATAAAGATTAATGCTGAGAGGGGATTAGAAAGTGCTATTGTAACTTGGACTGTGCCATCAGCTAGTGATAACTTTGATAACAGTCCAACAGTAATGAGAGTGTATGGACCTAAATCCGGTGAACGTATTGAAGATAACGCGATAGTAAAATATCAGGCAACAGATTCTGCTGGCAACCCATCTGATATTTGCACAATATATATCACCGTCATAGGTAAATTAACATATTTATGAAAATATACGTTAACAAAATATATACGCATTCTTTAAATTGGGGACCACACACCGCTAGTCATGGAATGGCACTACTGTGTCACATTGAAGCTTTAGGTTTCATGATAACCGTGGTAAATGTTGAACTATGCTGAAGCTGGTGCTACGGCGTGGAAGTTAACTTGCACTTTCCAATACCGTCCATGAACAGGTTCAATCGAACCGAGCCTGCAACATTTTCAATTTTGCAGTGTTGGGCTTTCTTTAGGGGTTCTGTATTTCTCTATTTTACTACCGGATTATTTATCTTTTTTGCTTCCACCAACTGTATCAGAAACGGCTTCTTATCGTTTGAGAAATAATAACAATTATATAACTATAGCTACGCGCACTTAATTCTATAATGCATCGTTTTTACCATCCCCCTTAGTATTTTGAAATAACGTCGAGCCAAATATATAAACCTCTCCAACACTCCACATGGTTCAATCTAGACTTTAAAATCTGGTTAAGGCACCAACGGTTCTGAAGTAATCGTTACGTCTGAAGTAATCGATACGTCTGACAATGAACAATACTCCTTCAAGAAACTCAATCTTATCATCCATTAAATATTGACACATTATTGTTTGATCGTGAAAATTTAGAATATGAAGATAGCGTTGTTATTTAAGAATCAAGAATCAGTTCAAAAATTTATAAAGACGACTCATTGTTTTGGTTATATGACTTTTCATTTGTTCTTTGAAATTTCACAGGTAAATAGAATAATTTCAGGAGGGGTAATGTGCACAAATATGATAACTCTACCCTTCATACTTTTTCATATATTGCCATCTGTTATATTTCATCTTTTAGTGTTTTTTTAGTTTTTTTGTTGTTTTTTTTTTTGCGTTTTTTTTTTTTTTTGTGGTTTTTTTTTTTTTTTTTGGTGGGGGGGTTGAGGGGGCAATACACAGTTTTCGAGGCTTCTCGGAAAACAACTGACTGCGTCACAATCAAAAGCGAACACACACGTCTGTTATCACACAGTCTGAAATAAATTTATTTCATAATTAACATATACTTATATATTTCATAGCAAACAACTAAGAAAACAAGTCCACCTTCTAGGTTTTCGGCACATAGCCCTGTGTTTTTCAATGTTTTTTTTTTCGCGAAAATTAATGACAAAAATAGCAAATTACACCTAAAAATATATCAAAACCAAAAAAGTTAGATGACATGCTACATTTTTTCTTCCTTCATAAACAATGCACAATCTAAAAATAAAATCCAAACGGGTAGACATGCAACTCCCTTATTCATAATTTTAGGTCTTCTGCATACCTTTTGAACTGAAGAGCTGATTTCCGTGCTAGCTCTATGGATCATACATTCGAATCTGGCATGTTCTTCCCAAAATGAATGGGTAAAAGACCACTCAAATCAATTTATGTTTTTAACTGAAACACAATACTAACTACTTAAATTTGTAGAATAATAATTATAATATAGCATCTTTAAATATTTAAAAATCACAAATATCCTCTTCAATTTCAATTGTCTCTTATTTGTAAATTTGACCTGGCGAATTCGAAACTAAACGACCGAAACTATGCATTACCTCCTTCATTGAAGAATAAATCGAAAATCATAAGATGTATCAATTCTTCAAATCTAATAAAGGAAGAATGCAACGTATAATAATGATAACTTTACCATCATAATTTGTGAGTTTCTGTCCCTTTTTTTTTTTTTTTTTTTCATTTTTAATTTTTTTCCGAAGTTTAAAGTATCACCTTAAATGCTTCATTCAGGGGTTCAGTGAGCAGGAATGACAACTCTTCTTTTCATTGTTGTTAATTAGTGCTCTTTCCTACTTTTCAGTAATTCGATGTCCTTCACCACATTGGCCCGATGATGGAAGAATTTCGTGTAACCTTGGAAACATTTACGGGAGCGAATGTATATACACTTGTGATGAAGGTTATAAAGTGTCCTTTCCGTCTTTGGTTGTCTGCGAAGAAAATGGTTATTGGACTTATGGAAGCAAACCGCCTATATGTTCCCGTAAGTAAACAAGTAGAATAACATACTTTAATTATGATAATGTTCATATTTATTTATAACAACTAACATTCTAAAAATATCACAGGTCTATCCGCTTAGAGAGAGCATCGGATTATAAATCCAGGGGTCGATGGTAAAATACTTGGGTGATATGTAATTTTCCGTGACACTTGATCTAAGACACTGGGTGTAATGGTCAGATATCTCACTGCTGATTTAGAAAGCATGTGGATTTCAGTCACTTGTAGGAAAATTGGTAATTACTTGTTAGTCATCAAGGAAAATCAGAAAGGTGGGTCGATCGCCGAGATGTGAGCAAAGTATAATAGTCAAAATAAAAATAAACCAATATCGCAGTATTGTCAGTATTCCATAGTAGATGTTTGACATATAATTTATTAATGAAGTATATATATATATATACCAAGTAATATAATGTTTCGATGTCAAACTGTGGAATGCAATCTTTTCTTGTAATCATTAATGACTACTAAATGATAAAATTGAATGTAAATAAATGATTAGTTAAAGGAACAGTAAGTTGAGAATAGCTCATTGAAATATTTATCTTCGTAAATGCATATTGCATTGTGTTTAATTTCTAATACACAATTAAGTTAAAAAATGTCGACATACATTTTCACGCTTCTTTATGTTTTCTAATATAATTGGTTTTGTTTTTTTAATTGAAACAGCAATAACTTGTGGTCCACCTCCAAGTGTGCCAAATGGAATTTTTCTCTGCATGAATGTAATGTTCCATTACCAGAGCATGTGTATGTTAATATGTTCCAACGGATTTTCTACTAATAAGTTTGTGCTAGCAATATGTCAGTCAAGTGGTGAATGGTTTATTTCTTCAAACAGTATATGTAAAGGTAAATATATGTTACTATAATGTTGATATGAATACATATATAAACCAACGTAGTATAACCATGCAATTGTCGATTTACAATGAAAATTTAAAATCTGTTTATTTACTCAAAACGTATTTTCTAAATGATGGCAATGAAAGTCTATCTAACATGTCAATATAATGTTTATGATTTCAATTGCATATATGATCATTTTATCAAATAAATTAGATATAACGCCACCGACAATATTAGACTGCAAGACTTATCAGACATTTTACACTGATCGTGGTTTGGATACTGCACAAGTAACATGGAGTATTCCGACTGCAATTGACAACACAGACAACCCTAGTGACATCATCATTGAACAGATATCAGGTCCTACAATAGGCTCTAGTATCAGCATAGGGACGACAGTAGTTGACTATAGAGCTGTTGATACGTCTGGAAATCCATCAGTCGTGACATGCTCTATTACGATAAATGTAGAAGGTAAATCATTTTCACAGTTTTTTGTTATTGTTTTTAAACGCTGGTTTTTGTAACGCAATATAAGTAGAATTTCTAAATTTAAATAATGATAAAGTCTCTTTTCCCCACTGGTAGCCTCGTATATTTTTATAGTTCAAAAATGAAAATGAATCCGCGATGATAATATTAACTGTTAACACAGATCAGGAAAAAAGAGATGATCCCTCGAAAAAAGTGAAACAACAATTTTATATGAAAAAACGCAGACTCGGTCTAAGACTGGTAATGAGATATAATATAAAAGTGCATTTTTATATGATCTAAAAATAGCTTTGAAAATGCCTTTCCCTGATTGGCTAACAAGCAACTTTTTGTAAAAAATAACAGGTCAATAACAGAGTATATTCACTGTTTTTTTTTCCTAAAAATAGATTTTCAGAGTATATTCACCGATTTTTCTTCTAAAAATAGATTTTCTGGAAAACCCTAAAAGAAGCGAGACTTTGACGTGACGTCACGCCAAGTTTGTAATTTTTATGAGTTGGGTGTACATAAGAGTCAAATAAGTCTATATTAGTTTTCATTTTTAAGAACAATAGTCATTAGCATGCCAATGGAAAGGGCCAAATTATGGAAACAGTAGACAAGCTGAAAAATAATTATTTCCGTCGTATGCAATGGCAGATGTGATTCCCCATATAAAAGCTATTTATAAATTAATAAAACAGATATGTACTTTTAAGCTGTTTAATATGATGTGATATGTACTGAAAAATTAATATTGACCTCGGCTATCGAATATGTCAATTTTTTTTTTCAGTACATATCACATCATATTCAACAGCTTAAAAGTCCATATTTGTATATTATAAAATACTGTGTTTTTTATTAATGTGATTTTTTGTCATCAAATGGAATTGAACTCATTTCAGAATTGTTACAAAATCAGAGGTTTACATATTCTAGACACGACCAGGAATTGTTTTTACATTTAAGACCATACTATATGTTTGAAAGTGTAATCAAGAGTGCATAACATTTCACAAAATGACAAGATATCTTCATTTTGTGTGTGTTTGTGTCTGTCTCTGTGTGTGCGTGTGTGCGTGCGTGTGTGTGTGTGTTGGTGTGCGTATGTGGTCGGGTGGCTGGTGGATGGGTGTGGGCGTCAACTTTTTTACCTGGAAGAAAAATCATTTCATTGAAAGGCATTTAGTTATTGCATTGGAAGCGCTTTTCCATCTTTTGAAGTGTTGAAAATTGAGTACCGGTCTAGCCGGTGCTAGGGGTCATGAGGGATGATGCATTCTTTTCATTATCCTCATGTACAGACTCTATCAAACCAAGTCTGCAATTTCATGTAATTTTGTTGTGATTTATGGTTCCGAGGTGTCGCTCTTTCTCCTGATTTTTATTACACTTACACCTGGTCAACGGGCAACTAGAAACCATCTATCTCTTGGATGATTGGCGCCATAGAATTTAGATATCGCCTCCTTATTACCTATTTTCACTTGTGTTAGGGAAACCATTTAAAGTCATTTTCTTGGTCAATTAATAAGCAGTGTCCCTTACTGAAATCGGATACTAGTATGAGACCTTCCTGTCCTATCACTTGACCACTGCTTTTCTTTTACTCGCTAGTTAAAGAAAGGAAAAAAAACAATATTGATATTAAGTTGAAATGCTTGATGCATGTATTAGGGTATGAATTACTCAAGATAATTATTTTGAATCGACTTCAGTTTTATCGTTTTTGCTCCTCTCTTGCGCTTTCAGCCGTTTATTGTAATCATCCGAGATATCATTTTGATGACGTGAACTTGGAATATACGTGTTTATCTTTTACTTGGGTGATACGTGTAGTTTAGCGTGCCCCTTGAAGGATTCACTAAGTTTACAAGGACCTGATTTGATAACATGTGAGGCCACTTTCTTAGATTCCTGGCTGATAACAACATGGGAATATGAGGGTAATAATGAACCTTCCTGTCAAGGTAAGATATTTTCAGTTGAATTAAAATTTAATTAATTAGACAACAGTCATTGATATGATCATTCATTTATATATCAGAATAAAATGATGTTGTTTTATATTTGAATTCTGTGATGTATGAAACAAATTGTTTGAATGAAATGTGAGATTAATTTAAATGTATTTTATCATTAGTAAAACGTAATCTCTAAAAGATTTAATTGGTATATATGTTACGTCTTGTTTGTATATATATGATAGTACGTTTCCAATATATTCCCAATGAATACGGTAATCACAGTTCGGGTTGACGTGGAAAAAAATGAATGTGAAACAACACGACGGAAACGAATAGGCAAACGTTGTTGGCTTGATGCCGATCTAGAATTTCAATTGTCAAAAAATGTGCAATTACAGCAAAGGTGTGAATGGGAAATAAAAAGGATAGATAATATATATAATAGTATAAAACGGTACGTTATTCTTGGAAGTGGTTCGTAATGGGACATTAATCATATCTTTAACCGGCATATGAAGTTCCTTCAAGTTTTTTTTTCAGTTCTCTGATTTTGGCATAGAATTGAGGTTTAGTACCGATTGTTATAGTAACGCTATGCATTCCGGTACATTACAATTCATGATATGTGTTATGTTCTACTAGGATTTAACAAGATACTGTTTGATAAAGAGCTAGTACCAGGCTGAGAGTTTTTAAGAATATGAACACCTAAAAGCGAAAAAATTGAATAACTATTTCCATAGACAAAGATCAAGCTTTTAAATTCAACCAAGAAACGACGAACAAAAAAACGAAGTCCTGTACCCTGTTTACCGCCAGCCAACTGCTCAAAATTCTCATGTTGACTTGTCAAATAACCGATGTTTTGATGTTTGCTGCTGCTGCTACTGCTGCTTCTGATACGGAGAAAATAATAGCCAAATTTTTATGGCCCATATGGGCAAACGGTATTGAAGCGGCTACTGAGAACATAGTAAACAAAGCAGTATATCAAGATACAACTTTCAGACAGAAGCGATAATTCACTATTTACAAAGGTGTGAGAATTGCAAGAGAGCATATCTGATCATGAATCCTTAAGCCTTTGAATGTTTTGAATGTATACATTCATTAGCACATAGTCCGTTTTCGATAAATTGCTTTTATTTAGTGTCATTTTACTTATTTGATCTGATCTGAATATCCCGATATTAAAGTAAGGATAAGATAAATGAATAAATAACTTGCATCAATTTAGTCTAGGTAGGAGTCTTGTAGAATTTTGACTCGTTACGTTCGCTCGATTACATTTTATATAAAAGTGTTTACTATATGTTATTTTTGTAGCTCAAACATGCCCTACAAGTCTTACAACACCAGAAAACGGAGCATTGTCGTACACAACTGATAATGATAATCAGCCGCTTGTGTACGTGTTATGTAATGGAAACTATGATTTGCCATATGGGTTTGATGGACATATTCAGTGTCTTTATACGGGATTATGGAGTCCTGGCGAAGTTCCAGACTGTACACGTATGTAAAACATTATTTTCTATGTGTTCACAGTATATGAAGTTTAACTTGCCTAAATGACCTCTACAAACATATACGGGTCATTTCCCAAGGGATCGAAATGTGCCCCGCTCTAGAGTTCACTTATCTTACTTGTATGGTGGAATGTTTAAAAAAATCTCTGAAATTAAAATGCCCAGAACTGAAATATTTTGCATGGTTTATCAACATATGGTCTTCTACAAAAGTTCTATAAATCTTGCAACCGAATCAAATTTTTCCCAGCCATAGAGACACTTAGTATTAAAAGACTTGTATAGGAGAATACGTTTAAGGTTTCTTTTGTAAAACTAAATTACCAAGAGCTTAGACATGTGACAAGTAGTTCTTCCTAGTTGATCTCAACAAAAGTAATGTAAGTCATATCAATGCCACAAAAATCCTCTTCTCTGAAAGTACAATGGCCAGAGCTTCGATATTTCAGAAAGCATCATAATGTGCTTCACAACAAGAGTTGGGATAAAAACTTGCCTACCCCGGGAGTCACTTAGTTTATTTAGACTTACATAATAAAAATAATTAAGCACCATCGTGAGAAATTACAATTCAAATACATGTTCAATCTAGCTTAGATATTTGTCATGAAGCATTTCGTAGCATACATCAAAAATGTGAAAAAAACGAATTTGACCTCATTACTTGCTTTCACCTTTTCTTGCAATGTATTTCAGGCGAGCGATACAAGGCCTTGATAGCTAGTACAGTATGGCCCTCTTGTTTTATAAACCGTTTTGATGGGTTTTGTCTTATTACAGAAATACTTTGAAATATATTAAAGTTTTTTTTTCATCATAGGGATTTTAGACTGTTTTCTTTTTTTCAAAGGAACACGCCGTCCAGGGTTAAATAGTTTGCCAGTCTCATTTTACTACTTCATCGACAGTACCTCCGAGGCATCCATTGATGCAATCAAAGATCAATTATTAACTAGTCTAGAGGGATATATTGAATCCGTTAAGACATCTGAATGCCTGACTGGCTCTACGTGTAGTTATAATGGCCTTGAAGTGAAAGATGGTTCTGTTCGACAGGAAAGAGAGGTCAAAAATACAAATTACCGTTCTAAAAGACAAGAATACAATCTTTTCGTCAACTTTTCATTAACAATCACTGGAAATGTTTCGGAATGGGATGAATTCTTAATGTATCAAAGTGTTCTTTTTCGAATGTCTGACAAACTAAAGAATGCTATATATGCTGGAGCATTCGACTTTGGTGACCTTTCAGTCGTTCCAGGTTCTTACCACAAAGCGCCCACATCTATAAATACGTGTGAGGGGGATGGTCAAGTGAAGGACGCTTATCGATGCAGTAAGCAAATCAAGACGTTTCTGGTCTCTGGTCTAAAGTAACATCATATGTTTAAATTATACTAATAAGTTTTCCGTAAAAAGGTTCTATTTTTCTTATAGAATATGTTAATAACATACTTTATTCAAAAAACCTTTTCTATTCATTTTATATTCACAAATTTGCTGACAGTAAGAATATGTTTTAATGTACATCATATACACAATTGTGTATGGTAACGAGATTTTTTCCACATATATATCAACTTTTTGCAGCTACGATAACTATGTAAACAATAATTTTAGATTAGAATCAACAAAAATTTCAAATAATTTACAGTTACACTGTAAAATGGCTTATCTTATCTTTCATCAGAAACATGTGTTGCTGGAATGTTTCTTAAAGATATTGACGGAGTTAAAAGTTGTGTGAAGTGTCCAATAGGTACTTATATGGAACATGAGGGTGCATCATCGTGCAACTTATGTCCTATTGGTACAAGTACAAATAAAACAGGGGCTAAATCAGCTGATATGTGTGATGGTAAGTAATTAATAATTAGAATTATACGATGACTGATTCTTATATGTGCAATTATGTTAGAAACTAAATCAAATTAACTTCGTATCTCATGCATTTTTTTCAGATTGATAGTATCTTAAATTAGCTAATGATTAAGTATATATTATTTTACCTGCCTTCATGTATGTTTTCCAATTCTCTAAATTTAGAGCTCTGTCCGATTGGCTTTTCATCGTTGACTTTGGTGAAGCCGTGTATTCCATGTGCACTTGGTTTTTATCAGGACAGTCTGGGTCAGGCCTCATGTAAAAATTGTCAATTTGGAACAACAACATTCAACGTTGGATCAAAACATTGCACGTGTAAGAACTTTTACATTTTACAGTTTTGTATCTTAAAAATCAAATCTGATTAATTAACGCAATGGTGGCATCGTAATTGAAAAATTTAGCTACTTAAAAGTTCTGTCTCATGTTATTTTTTTTTTATTTTATTCTTTTTACAATTTAACGGTATTTTTTATGATAACCTCAAAATGAAATGTAAAGACTATTTCCACTAAGCCGCTTGATGTACTTACAACTTTACAGCTATGAATATTAAATACATGTATTATTCATTTGATCTTGTTTCAGCGTATGACGTAGTTCTAAATCCAAAAAGTCTATCGCCGATAGTATCAACATTAAAAACGACTGATGTCTTAGATGAAATGACTGTACTATTTTGGTTATTCAGGAGAAGCGGATCTGCTTTTAGTCTACAGATAGAGAGCAATATTGTAATTGAAGTGTTAGGAGAGAGTTTCATCATTAATTGGTAGGTTTAAATTATAATCTATGTAAAGGATAAAAGACCTGATAATTTTGAACTTATACTAGAACTGTGTCAAAAGGACACGGATGCCCCCACTGACAACATATATATGGTATATAGTGAAACAATTAACAAAGGATCATAATTCTGTTAAATTTGGTCGCAGCAAAAATTCATTCCTTTACTACCATCTACACATTAAGGTTGTTCATCTCTGAAAGTTAAAGCAAAATCTGCCATCCGGTTTAAGAGGAGTTGCGTTCACAAAATTTCTATATGGTATATTGTGAAACAATTAACAAAAGGGCATAATTCTATTAAATTTGGTCGCAGCAAAAATTCTTTTCTTTACTACCATCTACACATTAAGGTTGTTCATCCCTGGAAGTTTAAGCAAAATCTGCCATCTGGTTTAAGAGGAGTTGCGTTCACAAAATTTCTATATGGTATATAGTGAAACAATTAACAAAGGGCCATAAATCTGTTAAATTTGGTCGCAGCAAAACTTCCTTCCTTTACTGCCATCTACACATTAAGGTTGTTCATGCCTGAAAGTTTGAGCAAAATCTGCCATCCGGTGTAAGAGGAGTTGCGTTCACAAAATTTCTACATAGTATATAGTGAAAAAATCAACAAAGGGCCATAATTCTGTTAAATTTGGTCGCAGCGAAAATTCCTTCCTTTACTACCAACTAGACATTAAAGTTGTTCATCCCTGAAAGTTAAAGCAAAATCTGGCATCCGGTTTAAGAGGAGTTGCGTTCACAAGATTTCGGGACGTACGGACAGACGTACGGACGGACGGACAGACGTACGTACGGACGGACAAGTGCAACGCTATATGCTCCCACTCTGTGGGGGCATAAAAAATAAATGCGCTGTAACCTTTTGAAATATTCGAATCTAGAGTTAATTAAAACTGATTAATAGATATATTACAAGAGTAAAAATGTGGGTGAAATGTTTACCACATTGTGACATTGTAATAGTTGTATAGTCGCATAGGCTTTACTCAAGTTTACATCTTTAAGCTTTAAACCCTTTCATCACAAATATCTTTTGGGTGATTTTCCTGAAACTTCGTAATAAGATATAACAGTATTTTTAACATGGAAAATGAAACTTTATTCGATATTCATGATTGTTTAACAATTATTGTTATTTGAAATATTAACTTGTTGAATAAATCTTTAAACTGTTAACAACGGTGTTGCCTGATTACTATCAGATGAGTTGGAGATCTACACATCATATCAATTATGTGCCTGATATCATTAATACCTTGAAAGCCTGAATACCAAGTTACAGTTAGAGTAAAGGGTATCCAGCATATTTAAGAGTCTCCGATCTACTAGACCGAAACACCAATTTATGGGGGCTGCGTTCATTGAACGTCGTATTTCCTTGTTGGTCTCGTATTTTAGATAAGTGTTTTCCCTTTTTATAAAAGGATACAAGAGCGTATTAGTAATTCATATCATAGCAATGTTAAATCAATTCAAATTGTCAAGTCATGCTTATGTTTTATAGGAATAGTGTATCAATAAATGCAAAGTTACCGTCACCCTCGTCGTTTGATATTTGGACACATTTTGCTGTTTCAATATCAGCCGCTACAGTAACATTTTACTACAAAGGTGAAATTGCTAATTCCCAAGCGAAAGTGTATGGAATGGCAGTACCAGCAAGCGCAAAAGTTGAGCTCTTCGCCAAAGGAGAAAACGGTTAGTATAGAAGCACAATTATGTAAATGACTTGTTTTTCGATGTTGTTTTTTTTCTTCAAAATTTAAAGAAACAAAAGTTTAATCATAAAATTACAGTTGAATGGAATAACCACATATATATTGTACAGTTTGTTTTAAAGTGTAAATCTTTTGTTTTTACCTTATTTATTTCCAGACATCCTCTTGAATTCGCTAGCAATATATAAATATGCCATGGAAGCTGATGAGATAACAAGTCATCATTCTTCTTGTGGATATGACATATCAGCTGCCGACTTTACCTCAGACGACCTTGTCCTTGACAATTCTGTGATTCAAAGAGAACCGTCGTCTTGTGCAGGTAAAAATGTTTAAAAGTGGGTGCTAGTTGGCATAGGCGATAGCTTACCTCTACCACTTTTTTCCATTGTAGTTATTGAAAAGGGACAGAAAATTCAAAGAAACATGGTATAATCATTTGTTTGAGCATTTTTCTCAATATCCTATATTTGATTTTAAAAATAAAAGATATTTGTAATAATTGTCTTTTCTTTTCAATCATTGTATATTACTTGCTCTACAAACCAGTTTTTGACATTACGTTCTATTTAACAGCTACTAATTTCTGCGCTGACGATCCATGTGACCAACATATGTGTACAAACACACAGTCGGGCTTTCTATGCACGTGCTCTGGTGGTTTCAGAGGAACAAGATGCGAATTTCCACCTGACAGCTGTAATGAAAATGAATGTCTGAATGAAGCAACATGTGTCAGTGGCAGTTATAATTACACGTGTGTTTGCAAACCTGGATATCGTGGGGTCTTTTGTCAAACACCACCAAGTAATAATCAGATCATTCGTTTTCATGCTCTATACTGTTCTTCAAATTATACACTATTAATTTGTTTTTTAGTCGTTTGATGAAATTTTAATTACCACATGTTCAATGTACAATAATATTTATTTTTATTTATTTTTACTTTCAAAAGGGAACATTAAATTCATCTGTTATTCCTGAAAACAAAATTAAGAAATAAAGTGTAAATATCCAGTATTCCACCTCTATGACGTTTATATCAAATGTCAGATTAGTATGTCTTTACTCGGCAAGATATCATAAATATTCAGTAAACAATCCAACTATGATTTTCATTAAAATACCGTATTATAATTGTAAATTTCAAAGAGGAACAGAAAACAGCAGGGAATACTTCAACTTCTTGTTGACTGAAACAATTATAAAGTAGCTTACTATGAAGCCCTTTCGTTTGTTGGTCCGAAAATCAAACAAAATTTATTTTCACAAATTGATGAAATTTAGTAAATGGTGGATGGAGTCTCTGGGCAAGCTGGGGAGAATGTACAACAAGCTGTGATGGAGGTGTGAGACGGAGAAACAGAACATGCGATAATCCTAGTCCAGGGCAATATGGCAAACAATGTGTTGGTGATGTGATGGAACAGATTCAGTGTAACACATATCCATGCAATAGTAAGATTGATAATATTTTTTTTCCTGACTTTCTTTATTCGAATCAATATCTAACAAATAGTGACGTAGAGATAAACTTGCTTTTTATTTCATTTTCTTATACCCTAAAACGCCTAATGACAGAGCCTATTATTTGCTATTTCATTTCTTCTGTCTTGTATAATTTCTGTCATAAACAGTCCGTTACCTTTTGTTAAAATTTTAACTCAATTTTTCGTTAATTTTGTCAAGTACAGTCTAACTTGCCCATGCGACCACGTGTATTAAGCGACTTTTGTTTTAAACGACCACTTTAAATTCCCCCCGATCATTTTCTCTCTATATCTTTAATGTATTAAGCGACTTTTGCTCAACGCGACCAGCGACCGCTAATTAGTCACCTAATTGACATCAATCTTTTCATTAAACGACCACTTTTACCTGTCAAGTAATTGTGTTTTTAGAGAACGCCA